CCAGTCACCAGGTTTCTCAGAAAAGGTCCAACCGTCTGCTCCTGCTTTCTGTACAGGAAAGGTGCGCGGTTCCTCAATTGCCAGTGCTCCTGTAAAATCACACGAGTGACCAAGGAGCGGATCTCCGTGAACCCATCATGTCCAACCCCCGGCACTGTGGTCTGAGCAGCGGCCGGCTGCTCCTCCTCTCCCCCGGTCTCCCTCTCCGGGCTCAGGGTGTATTTCTCGGGCAGGCCGGGGATATACGCGGTCTTGGTGAAGTGCTGGTACCATGTGTCCGCGTTCCTTGAAAAAGTCTGAGGGTAAACCACAAATTTCATCCGCTGGATGCGAGTGATGAGGGAGAGCTTCTCCTCCACCGAAGAGGCACATATCTTCTGTACCTGCTCGTCAACCTGTCTCCCCCGGGCAGATTTGCTTTTAGCCGTGAGAGAGGGGATGATGGGCGGATACGCGGGCTCCTTGACGGCCGCCTCTGTGTGTGCAAGCCTTTGGTTCCTAAATGGAGGCAGGTTTTTAGGGAAGAGCAAGGGCAGGCGTGTGCGGGCCGCCATGTTTCTTATCTGACTTCTTCTTTCGTTGACATGAGATCTAAGTTTCTCCCACAACAGCGCCCACTGCGGCACGAAAAGTAATAAACATGGGATTAACATACTGGAGAGTGTTTCATGTCTAACCTTGATATATACAGTCTATGGTCTAAACATCAACCATATATATTAACTAATACAATAAAGCTCCATATTTTACTTTATTTTAGTTAGAGGCCATATTATGTGATTGATTTACGTATACAGCTAAAGTTTGAAACTATACATTATGAAACGTTAGAGCTCTTGAACCTACCCTTAAAGCAACGGAAACGCCCCCTTTGGACGCATTTAAAGGTCTCGTAATTTTGACATAAGCACACCATTATCATGGAAATAAGAATAATCAAGAACCGAACTATACAGTACCAGGTGCAATATTTGGATACAATAAGCAATTAAATAATATCTAACAATTAATGAGGGGAAAATACAGCAAATTATGTTATAATTCCAACCGAGACAAGTCATATACCAGAGGTGATTCAGAAAGGGTAAACAAACGTTACAAGGGTACGTGAAGGCAACACCAATGTACAGAAAAGAGTTGTAGTCTGTGAACAAGATTTTTTAAACTGTGCAGTGTTGTGTTAAAAAAGACACGCGATAAAGCTTGGAACATACTTCCGAAACAATACATTAGCTGTTTAGCTAAACATGTATCTTCGTCAGATTTTGCGGACGCAGTTACACGGGATGAGAACGGTCCAACTCCACCGTTTGCAACGTGTTTGTCGAGCCGAGGTAGCTGCTCTGAAAATAATCCATCTCATTCTCATAAACTTTTTATTTTCCTCGTGTGCAGCTTTGCATTTTGAAAACGATTGTCCTACCAGCCCTGGTGGTGGCTGTGGGGATTCTGCAGTGCCCCACCACCAAGAGGTTTGGTGAACTGTGAATTGTGCTGTTTGTATGCTAGCATCCGTTTTTCAGATCACAGGTGTGTAATGTGTCTTTCTGACCTCCAGAGACCACTGTGCACAAAGAATGACGAGGTGAGGCTGGCAGAGGAGGCCAGCAACAAGTATGGCTCCCCAGCTCCAACCATCTTCTCTAAAGTGATCGACAAAAGCATCCCTGCAGATATCATTTATGAAGATGAGAAGGTAAACAAAACAAAACATGTTATCATGTTGGCCTGTTCCACGTGGAAACCACAGATCAATCAGCAGCTTGTTGAGGGCTAAGAAGTTGTGCAACTAAACACTTTATTAATGTTGTTTTTGTGTGTTTATCAGTGTTTGGCATTCAGGGATATCAGCCCACAGGCACCTGTTCACTTCCTTGTTATTCCAAGGGTCCCTATCCCCAGAATAAGTGAGGCCAAAGATGATGATGCTGAGGTAATGTTATTCCATCAATTTGCTCAACCTGCCACTCCTGTTTAGGGGTTGTGAGTGATATTTGGAATATAACTACATCCACATTCACAATATATGGATGGCATATACACTTCATACACTATTTGTAATTTTGTATGTATTTTCATTTATACTACTGCCTTTTTTTTTAAAGGTACAGATTTAGGAGCCTTACTGCAGGGATTTCCCCACGCATCAGACACAAGAGAGTTAGTGAAGATGGACATTAATGTTGGGCAATAAGGCCTTCTCTGAGTTTGGTTTAAATTCTTACAACTTTATCTTACCCCAAACAATTAAGAATAGTTCCAGACCAGAGGTTATTGAAAAATATGTGACGGGTATGAAAACATACTTATACTTAGAGCTCACACACATTTTGTAACATAAATCCAACATGCCTTATATGTCTCCTGTATTATTAGTTATTAACAGTCAGTGAAATGCATTACCATAGTCAAAAACCTAATATGAAAGTGTAGCAAGACAATTTAATTGATTTAGTACATTTAAATACAGGTAAATCTGACATGTTACACATTCAAATGCAAAGAGCAAGAATGTAGTACTCTGAATACATTTTTGCTCCAAAGGGTCCTTTAGTAACAACACCCAAAATGTTTAATCTTTAAAACATACATTTTTATATTATGCACCCCTCTAACTCAAATACAATTTCAGCTCTTAGGACATTTGTTGATTGTTGCCAAAACAGTGGCGAAGCAAGAATCTCTAACTGAAGGCTACAGAGTTGGTAGGTGACAGTTACACCTATAATATATACAGGCTGCGTAGTGAAGTATTACTAAATGCTGGGTATCTTTCTGCCATACAGTGATCAACGATGGAAAGCATGGTGCTCAGTCAGTTTACCACCTTCACCTCCACGTCCTGGGAGGAAGACAGTTGGCGTGGCCACCAGGATAATGGCGACATGTATGACTTGATATATGAAGGGTGTAGGTCATATTCTCTTCCCGTCCTTCTGTACAAAAAGTAAATTAACCACAAATAATTGTTTAATGGACTAATTCAAAAGTGAATACATGATGTTTAATATGGCTGCAAATAAAGACATTATTAATGTGGAATGGCAAAAGGTCAATTTGGTTATTTTATCTGACAGTCGGTGGAAAAACAACAAATTGTCAGCAGATTATACTACTACTACCAGTTACAGCAGGTGTAATCTTAACAGCAATATTATCAGGTCTTTATCAGTGAAACACATTTATCTTCTTGCTATAGATTTATCCCTGTCTCTGGTCAGACAACATACATTAAAGTGGCCATAGACATCATTTTGCTTATGAATTGGATATTGACTTCCCAAGTGAATGACTGTAGAATGGCGTTTACATTAGTTCCCTGTAAATCTTGCGTTTAGGGTGCGATATGTCACGATAAAAGCTTCAGACATATTAACCGTTATGTGTTTTGCTTGTTTGCGCTGGCGGAAAGTAAGTAAACTACTTAATTATACTTTACACTGGGGACTTTGTGAGGTTTTCTAGGAAAGTACAATACTTTGTCATTTCCACTTCATATTGCCACACAGACGTTTTGCAAGTGGTGTGAACTTTGGATTTGCTGAGAAATTTTGACCAAAGTTATCTTGAAAACTAGAGGCCAGACAGAGTCCGCTGGGACGACAGATCTTAATCTTATCAATTTTAATTACAAATTTAAAATGACTTATCAGTAAATGTGTTGCTTTATTGCAGTATTGGAATGTACATTGACTCAAAGTACGATAACTCACAAAGTTAGAAAACAGATAAAGATTTTACAAAGAGATTATGAAATCACTTTATAAAATATGATACTGTGCTGTAGGTTAAACTTTCCAACATAATGCAAAGTGATTCAAATGTGCTCCACATCAGCTGGAACATTGAAATGCTTTAAAGCATCAGTGATAGATTATGTATTCTAATATCTTGTTCTCACTGGACAACCTTTTGACACGAAGAACCCTGTTTTCTTTGTATGCCGTCTACTTTTCTGCTGATTCATGCCCTCAGTTACCATTCACACCCTTCACAGATGGCATGTGCCGAGATATGAGCAGTGAGGGTCGGAGCAGGGACACATATGGTGTGACTGAGTGGGATGATTCACTGACCCCGGTACCTGTGAGCAAGGTAACTACGGATCATTTGGGAAATGGACGGTTGAACTTTCCTCTATATTTACTTATGAAATATCCTTGAACGCGGTTATCAGAAAGACAGATATGAAGCTCAGCAAGAGGAGAGGAAATCAGGGCTGTAGTGAAACGTGATCAGAATAGATTTTTGGACATTTCAAACCGCTTTCATCCAGTAGGAATAATTTTGTCGAACTGATTTCTTTTATGTTCTTTATAAAAATCCCAAATGATTAGATGGCGTTAGAAAAGTGGAAGAATAAAAGGAGATTTTAAGAAAGTCAAGTCAGGATATCAGCACATTTCTTGAATATTTCGTGCATTTTAGTGTGTGTTGCCGTCATCTTGACAGTTCTCTCTTGATTTGTAAGAAAAAGTTGAAGTTGCACATGTCTGGTTCAGCCGTTGAGTAACTTTTTGATGGTCCAAAGTCTAGTCATAAACGGAGAGAACTTATCTAGTTGTATCATTATTTCTCTGACAGGCCTGGTCATGCATATCTGATAATGACTTGTCTTCATAAATCGATTTTGGATGATAAAGGTTTCAATAAAATCTGCTCTAAACTGTCAAATGTTTTGAACCGTCGCCAACAGTTTGCTGGTATAATCATTACAAACAGAGCAGGTTTCTACCAGCTGCAGACTGTTTGTGTCTGAGGTGACGGGTCTTCTTCACCTTAAGCCATAACCTATGATAAAGCATATTGGTGGATCTTTAACCGGTGGGCCCAGCTTCAGCGGCAGATGTTCAGAGGATTACGAAAGTGTGCAAAGCTCTGGACGAGGCCTTAGTGCAGGGGAAGTTGGTATGTATTCATGCAAGTCCACTATAGGCTGATATTCTCTCCAGGGGGCAACAGTTGAAGCCTGCGCCGGGCAAAGGTTGATTTCAGTCTGTTCTGCACTTGACAGCTACTGTCAATCAGCTCTCTGCCAGGAGAAGGTAGGGGACATTTAAGCATATTGCTTTTTTTATTTTTAGATTCTGAAAAGTCTTATGTCAGGTGTGTTTTATTGTAATAAGTTGCTATGGGGACTAGCTTTCCTGTATGAGGATGATGCACAAAAAACATTATTTTACTGACATGGTACACCTCTTTTTGCTTAAGCTGACATCAGTTTAATTGTAGAACACAATAAACACATATCTTAATTACATTTATGATTTTAAGGCTGAGAAATATGCACGCACTTGTAATTGTTGACATGTTGAGGGAAGTCATGTTTGTGACAAACACCTGACTAACGGAATATCCCTCATTTGATGTGGGCAGGCTGCCAAGCTTTTAATTGTTTGGTCAATTGTTTGGTTTCTTTACTGTAAATCACTCTCCCAATAAGATGTGCTCTATAAAAGCTAGACAAGCAGCTACAAGCATGAATTGTTTTATCCAAGGCTTACAGTCACTATACTGTACCTCGGTAACTACTTTTGACGTTTTCCTATGGGACTATAGGACGTCTTCTACACATTTTTACCAAAAGATTCAATATATCACTCAGTGTTCTTCAATGGTTACATCTGCTTTCTGGGTAATGTACAAATCCAAGTTATTAATGGAACTGAAATCTACTTTGCAGGGAATTTGAATTGATATTTGTAGAATATTAGACTTTGCCGTTGCCATTTCATATTGCCACACTGTAGTTTTGAACTTTGGTCCAAAGACATTTTTGACCAAAGTTATCTCCAAAACTAGAGGCCAGAGAGAGAATCTGCTGGGTTGACAGATCTTAATCCAAAATGATTTTTATGCCATATATAATTAGAGAATGTGTCGCTAATTTGCAGTGATGAAAAGTAACTGAGCACATTTACTTAAGTGCTGTTATTAATCACATCATTGAGTTAGGTAATTCAATTGTATGCTATTATACTTTCTGCTTCAACTCTGCTAGATTTCTGGATTATTGTACTTTTTACTTTACTTCATTTATCTGACAGCGGGAATTATAAGTTATTTTACAGATTTCAACATAATGATCAATTTATAAAATGGTATTCTGCTTAGATTTCATTTTTTTGTGTAGAATAAATAATTTTAGCTGTATGTAAGGTAATTAAAACCTGTTCCAGCTATTACATATTTACATGCTGCCTATGTGGTAAAGCATCAGTATTGATATGTGATCTATGTAATAACCAAACTCTCTGAAAGGAACCATTCTGTGTACATTTGCTGTTAATGCTTGTATAACCCTAACTTTAAATGAAGGGAAATCTTTAATGTATGACTTTGACTTGGAAAGAGTGTTTGAATTGATTGAACTCTTTACACAGTTAAGTTATTAGAAGGAACAACTTGAGATCTTACACAGTAGTTGATAGGTTTACACACTAGATGGCATTATTTCACAGTCCACACAAGGAACCCCTGAAGCCATGATCATGAATTTTCTACAATATTTACATGTCATTACATACTATTTTTCACCTCAAATTGTATTAACCAGCGATGTCGGAGATACAGCAACAGCATATTGTAGTGTGGGTATTTGGGTCAAAGGGTAGTCTACTATATCGAATGCATGCTGATGTCCTGCAATGCATTCTGACACAATATTCAGAGTTTGAACATTTAGCAATTGCAGCCTCTTGCTCTGACCCATTGTTGCAATGACTTTGGTGTCAGTCTTGTATAAATCACCAGAGCAGTTCAGTTTCATTAAAGATATTCTGATCGGCTTGGAGTAAAGGGTCTTAATGCTCATTTGTTTTTGGTCGTCCTAAAATTGTTTTGTCTATTATTCCAGCAACTACAAGATGAGTGTCCAAGAGGATTCGGTTAAGAGCAATGGTGTCGCGGTCATGGCTGAGAGGTATGTAAAATAATGCATGTCCCAAAGAAAATAAATCCATCATGTATATTTTATAGGGCCATTTGATTTTAAACTAGGTTTCTAAAAATGTTGTTCATCTACAGCAGCTGTACTCAGAAGGCTATGTCAGACTTAAAGATGAACTCCACTCTGAACGGAGAAGCCATCACATCCGAGCTCAGTTCAACGTCTGAGCTGGAGGAAGCCACTGAAGGACTTTCACTAGGTGAGAGTCTAACTAATGTGATGCATTTGTACTATATACTGCATCACTAATAGTGCTGTCTTTTATTGTGAAATTCTGATTATCTTTAAAAGCGACTGATGAGTTCTGAAAAGGCAGTATAACTCTTAAATCAAACACTAATGTCTTGAAACCTATGCAACCTGTGAAAGGGGATATTGAATAGACATTAAGTCTAAAAAAAGGTAAAAAGCCAAAAGAGTCACTGTATTAGTAGCTGCATTAAGGGTAGAGTTTGTGAGATATGTATTCATTGTGTTCTATACTTAAACAAACAATATGGGGATGCACAAAGTCTGTTTGGTGCCTAACCCTTCCAGCAGCATTCTGCAGGAGCTAAGAGGTGTGGTGTAGCCTCAGATAACACCTGAACATAAGGTTGACTTATGAATGACCCTCATTTCTAGCTTCAGGGTAGGATTGAGCAAAAATAGTTTTTTTCAGTTTGTAAATCTGATAGGCTCTCAAACAGTCATAACATTTTAGGTCCCTAGAATCTAAAGCAGGGGTGGGGAACCTTTTTCCTCTCAAGGGCCATTTCAATTTTTTCAACATCCTCCGAGGGCCGTACAAATTATTGACCTCTGCTTAAAAAAAACTAAAATCACAGCCCATTCATTTGGCCTTTCTTTCATGCTGTGCAAAGAAAAAGCAACCTCTTAATCCAGATATTTTACCATGACCCGCGCATGCACGTGCACGGTGTGGCATGACCACCAAAACAGAAAGATATGGACAAAAGATGTGTGCAAATGTATTTAGTTTCCTATCCATGTGGACATGATTTAAGTGGGGGGGTACCTAACCTCCTCTAGGGGGGTCCGGGGGCATGCTCCCCCGGGAAGATTTTTTTTTTTAAATGTTGAAGTTAAAAGCATCAATCTGGTGCACTTTGAGAGCAACATTAGGAGATCTATGGAAACATCTCAACACCCATTTGAAACAGAAGAACTGTAAGCATATTTACTTTTTCTTTATGGATATTTTACAAATCACTCCCCTTTCAAACTGTATTCTTGTTTATTAATAACAACTTTTTTTTACTATCATAGTATTTTATACCCGTTTACTTTATTCTCTTATTTTTTTATAACTATAATGATTATATAAAGATGTGCCTTTACCTCACTGGTTGGAGAAAAAGCTTCTTATATTCGTTAGCATAGCTAGCTAACCAGATGCTAATAACAACAAAGTTATTGACTGTAATGATCACTATGACAGTAGAACAGATCGCCACTGGGCTTTCAGCTAAAGACACAGCCACGCAAAAACTGCGGCATGTGTACGGCTCCTTATGGGTACAGCTTGGAAGTGCCGGAGCGACGTTCTGGTGCTCTCCGTCAGAACTGCACCCCTGTCAGACGAGACATGTACCACGTGATGACACGTTAGGCTCGTGTTGTGTTCAAGGACCCTGACCGTGGCCAGGAAAAACAGGCACTCGCTTTGTTTAATTTGTTTGCGGTCTAGATGTCTTTAACTTTTTTGCGTGTGTTTATAAATTACCTCGAGGGCCGTACCAAATGGTCTCGCGGGCCGTATACGGCCCGGGGGCCGGAGGATCCCCACCCCTGATCTAAAGGGACATAGCAACATGTACTTGTGGATAATATAACTAAAGAAAAGGGATCAATACAAAACAAGACGATAATAATAATAATAATAATAATAACTTGAATGTATATAGCGCCTTTCATAACCTCAAGGTCACTTTACAAAGAAACATACAAGGACAAGACATAAAACATAAAAAACATAAACATAAAACAGGGGGCAGAAATGGAAGTGTAAGTGGGGGGGGGGGGGGGTGAGTTATTGTTGGAAGGCGATGTTGAACAGATGAGTTTTAAGGGTTGATTTGAAGATGTTAAGAGAAGGGGCGTTGCGGAGGGAGGGAGTTCCAGAGGGTGGGGGCAGCGACACTGAAGGCACGGTCCCCGACGGTGCGGAGGCGTGAATGGGGAATGGAGAGCAGGCCAGAGTCTGAGGATCGAAGGGTGCGGGACGGGATGTATGGGTGGAGGAGATCTGTGAGGTACTGAGGGGAGAGGGCATGGAGGGATTTGTAGGTGAGGAGGAGGAGTTTGTAGGTGATACGGGACTTGACCTGGAGCCAGTGTAGGTTGAAGAGATTAAGTTAAGTTTTAGTGTATCCAAAAATAAGGTGGGAAGTAACTAAGTACATTTACCCAAGTACTGTATTTAAGTACAATTTTTTTGAGAGACTTGTAGGGGAGACCAGGGACAGTTGTAACACTTTTTGGGTTTTCTCCAATAAGTAAAAAGCCATTTACACTAGGATAGCCATTTTGCTATATTATACATTCTCAATGTGTCAACTACTGAAACAATGTATTTAAGATGTTTCTATGAAATAAGTACAGGTTGGAAAATGTATTTTTTTTAAAAACTCAACTGTTACAACAGGGACGGTTGTAACATGTTAATAACGGTTACCTTTTTTCACACTACATGACAAAAAAGAGGGAAAGCTGTCAAATTCTAAGGCAACAAGATTTGAATGGGGTTTCACACATCCTCCAATGAACATAACTTATAACAGAACACCAGATGGAATTAATCTGATTCACAGTTGTGGCAGGTGTAAAAGTCACTTCCATCTGTATAGATAGCCTATTCTCCTTTGAGCTGAGACCATAGTATAAATCAGCTGCCTCCATCAGGTAGAGTAGTCTCTCAAAAGCATCTCTTGCTCTGTTGAGAACACCTTCTTTGGTGTCCAGTAGCCTACTCTTTGGGGTGATTTTGATCCCTGACTCTCCAACCTCAGCCTCTTTGTATGGAACCGGTACAGGGTGACATGGCATATATCATGGGACTTTGCCACTGCCCTGACTGATTTGCCCTCCTGAACTTCATCTGAGGCCCTCTGCAGCAGAGGAAGTGGCACTCCCCTGTCTGTCTTCCTCTTTCTGACATTTGGCATACTGTAAACACACGCACACACTTTACGTACAGTATTTTATTCCGTTTATTTTTACAGGGACAATGCACACCAATCAACAATATTGATCATTCGAGCAAATGAGCCATCATTGTAAATGTGCCATGTTACAACCGTCCCAGATGGTCCGTGTTACAACCGTCCCAGGACCACCAGTCATGCTTTCACCCCCTGTGAACCTGCCTGATTGCTAGCTTGACCCATATTTAGCTAGTTATATGTTTAGCTTACAAAACAGTGATTCTAATAATACTAGTTTGGATTCCTAGACATTTGACCTCAAGACAGTATCCAAAAAATACATCATATAATTGTTGTTAATGTTATACCTCAGAAACACATAATAAGTAAAGTAACTAAACGTTTATTTTGATCATAATACTTTTGTACTTTTACTTAACAGTACATTTTGACATTTTGACTTTTACTTATAACAGAGTATTTCTACACTCTGGTATATTTATATATGTATTTAAGCATCTGAGAGTACTCCTCCCACCTCAGCCAGAAATTCAGTCAGATCTTTAAATGTGTGACCTTTAAGAAAATGTCAAATATTTTTAGAACCAGACTGAAGTTCTGTTTTTTTCACTATTTGCAGAAGAACAAAATAAGGTTTAGCAAAAGGAGCAAACTAATCATACCCCTACCATCCTAAAGTTTTGAGGAAAATATATCATTAAGTACAACAAATCGAAAGCAGATCAGAAAGTATGGGCCTATATGCATAGGCCGTTGTTGTGAGTGTGGACGGTCGGAGCATATACTGCGTTAGAAAACACGCATTTTAAAAGGTTTTTCGCCTGCCGTCTGTCTGCAGACTTGTCAAAGCATGCATTCATTGTTTTTACTAACCGGTATCAGTATGTTGTTACTTCAGCATCATTTTGAAACGTGTATTACAATTAAATCACGGTCAAATATGTTCATTTTGTTGTAGTTTCCCGCCTCAGAGAGACGAGAGAGTGTTTAATGTTGTGCCCCCGTTGAGCTCAGTCCCTCTGCGGGACATAGCAACTGTTGCAGGATAACATAAAATAGCATCTCATTGCCGGACCTATCAGCTATAGATGACCCTGCGGCTACACGGCCAAAGCTCATTAAGTAGCCTACCCTCAGACACTTTTCGGACAAAAGAAAAGGAGCTTCGCTGCCCACTGGTATGACAAGTACACATCCTTGGAGTATAGCATTAGCAAGGACAATGTGTTTTGTAAAATGTGCCGGCATAGAGAGGCGAAGTCCCTCCCTTTCAGGGGGAGCTCCATGGGAACTTATTTCGGAAAAATTATGTATTGAAGTCAATGGGGAGAGAAAGATTATCTTTCGATCCCGTTTGAATCGTGCCATGAATTACACATAATTTTGCAAGTACAAAAAAAAAACTGTGAAGCAACACTTTTTTTGTGTGAAACCGCTCAATTAACTACATCTCCCCTCTCGCACCATACACCAAGACGGCCGTCACGTTGGCACATTTCAATTCTTCCTTTCAGATTGAGGTGAAAAGTATTAAACGAGGTGAAAATCACTACAAGTCTGGGCATGTTGAGAGCTGTACATACACAAAAGGGGAGTTAGTCGGTTCCGTAAGAGCCAGCATGCGGGACCGCGATTCTGGGATTTGTCTTTAGTTGCGTATTTTTCATAGTCTTATATTTCAACAGTTTTACGACAAACTGTGACTTTTTGAAATGGAAATTCTTTTTTAAGATTGACAATTCAAACGGGATCGAAAAATAAGTTCTCTCTCCTCATTGACTTCAATTTCTAATTTTTCCGAAATAAGGTCCCATGGGTCGGAAGTAGATGGGCGGGACTTCGCCTCTCAGAGAAAGGCGAGGCCGGCGGAGAAGATACATTCAGTCGCCATGGTTACAGGGACTGGAAACACATCGACTATGCTCTCAGTAAACACGAATGTCATTCTAGGCATAGCCTATTTTTATTAGATTATTAACAAAAATCGCGAGAAAACATTTGAACAGGCCCAGCCGAAATTACATTGGCCCACCCACAATTGAAATCCTGGCACCGCGGCTGGTAGGCCTATTATGTCTGTGTTATTTGATACTCTTGTCAAACTTCCTCTCCACAAACTTGATTGGTAGGTATACTTGATATTCCTGTTGAGTATCTGGTATGTGTTTCCTCATCCACTGCACAGCTTGCAGATCGTGTTGCTCTGACACCTCAGGAGTTAGAGCCCACAGTCCAGAGATGTCTGCAGTCCTCTCGCTCACCTGACTCCTCTGAAGCTGACTGTGTCTCGGTGTGGTATCTTCCGTATTTAACCTGTAACAAATGGCGGGTAAACACGGCTGCCCATGTTGTCCCAATACAGAAGAGCCCAGGGCAGTTCCTCTGTCGACGGCCAAAGCACAGACCGCTCTGGCCCCAGCAGACCAGCTATGGAGCACCAGCAGAGACCAGGCGGTGCGGCTGAGGATGGAGGGCTCGGGTGCGGCCTCAGTAACCCCCATTACCATCCATCAGCTCTTCATGGAGACGGTGGAAAATTACGGGGATCGTCCCGCCTTGGTTTCCAAAACAGAGGGCCAGTGGGTGACCCTGACGTGGAGGCAATACTACGAGCAGTGCCGTGGAGCAGCTAAAAGCTTCCTCAAGGTTTGTTTGACTGCAACTTGACATGATATGCATACATTAAAAAAAAATAAACATCAATAATACTTGCGCAGTGGCAGATTATTTTTTGGAATGTTGTCACTCTCCTTCAGAACATTTTTTGTGTCTCTTAAGCCTGTGTATGCCCTACATTTATTAACTAAACTACTATAAGTCATTGTTTAAATAGGGGAATTTGTGTGGCACACATAACGTTTTTACCTGCGTTTTAAACAGTAGGCTACCCCAGAGTTTCCCCACTCTCTCATCGCGTTGTGTGAGAACAGGCTGCTGAAAAATAACACTGGGGCGTGTGAAATTAACAGCTTGTGTTTCATCTCTTGTTTCACGGACATGTTTGTGTCCCATAAGGTAGTCGCTTTTTAAATTAGATGTAGGTCAAGAGTAATAGAGACACAGTGCTGCTGCGTCATTGAAACATGCTCCTAAAAAAACAATGTTTATTCTTTAAGTTGGGGCTGGAGCGTTACCATGGTGTGGGGATCCTGGGATTCAACTCAGCTGAATGGTTCATCTCAGACGTCGGCTGCATTTTTGCCGGGTAAGATCTCATTTAAAGAACTAAGGTAGATACATTCTCATGTGGACTTGTAGAGATGCTTCAGCATTGCGTCACCTGACACTGCACATTTTGCTCTGTGCATGCTTATAATAATAATAATAATATATTAATTTTATATAGCGCTTTTCTGGACCCAAAGACGCTTTACAAAGTCCATCTCTTTGTCTCTCTCGACTCCTGTTTAGAACAAAACAGTTTAAAGTCTAAGGAAACCAAGTACTGATGTTAATCTTGTATCCAGCTGTTGAGTAACATTGAACTTGTGTAGTTAAGGCACGAATCACAGGCTTTTGACTGGATTTGTAGTTATTACAAACTTTAGAATTCTTCAAGTTTCAATTACCCTTGTATAAGTGTTAACTGAAACTGCCTATTTTGGCAAACACAACCTTGAAAAACTATTTGTTTTATCTTACTAGGCTTTCTTGTCAAGCTAAGTTTAAAAATGGCAAACTCCACAGTGAATAATGCGTGCCTTCAACAGAGATGAATACTCTCCTTTCTCTGATTTGTGCCACAGGGGTCTGGCAGCTGGGATTTACACCACCAACTCCCCTGAAGCTTGTCAGTATGTTGCTGAAAGCTGTGAGGCTAATATCCTGGTTGTGGAAAACCAGAAACAGCTTGAAAAGATTCTGCAGGTCAGGACCTTTGAAAATGTTTCACTTTTGGAAGATAGAAAGAAATCTGTCCTCACATGACTTTGTGTAATTCACGTTTCTCAACAGGTTAAAGATCAACTACCTCATCTGAAAGCAATTGTCCAGTATAAAGGCGAGCTGCAGCAGAAAGCACCCTTCCTGTATACAGTATGTTCCCTCACCAAACATATTGACAAAGTAAAACAAATGATCTGATAGTAAACTGTGTGTGATGCCTACAGTAGCACCATTTACATTTTTAAAGCTAAATTAGGATCATTAAAATGTATGTTTTAATAATTCACTTAAATGTATTAAACTGCATCAGTTACATTTTAGTCTGGGTTTGGACACATTTTTCACCAATTCTCTCTATATGTGTAGTGGGCAGAGTTCATGAAGCAGGGAGAAGACGTGCCTGACGAGCAGCTGGATGCTGTGATTGACAGTCTTCGGGCCAATGAGTGCTGCACCCTCATCTTTACCTCGGGAACAACTGGCAACCCTAAAGGAGTCATGTTGAGCCATGACAATGTGAGTTATAGACAATTACTTTATTTTTATTGTAGATTAGATGTCTCTCTAATTAAGTGTTTAGTTTTGTAAAATATGAAAAACTGACCATTACCATCTCCCAAAGCCAAAGAGGACAACGTGGTGTGAAAATGATTACTGGGTCAGGAAGAGAAAGACATTTGAAAAGAATACTGCAGGCCTTGATGTATATTCAGATTAAGAAGAATAAAATGTTCCCAAACCTGTTTTGAATTTTTGAAGATGTATGATCGTTTTAACAGAATCTAGTTCAGTGGTTCTTCTTGTAAATACCCAATAAAGAGCCATGTGGAACTCCTGAAACTGCTACATTTTAACATTTAATGCTAAAACATCCAAATACCATCAGACAGTCGGCCTCAATAGGGTATTCAGGAGGGTTTTCAAATGTAATATACATAGATTCAGTAATTGATTCCAACCTTTTTACTGTGATTTAGAGCAGCTCCTGAGAATGTAAACATCAAAAGGGCATCAAACAAGAAATTGTGGCCCCTCTCTAAACATCAATGTGTTTGCTTTGTGAAAATTAAAGAAAAATGTCTCTGACTCTCTGATGACTCCTACCTTTGTCTTTAATCTGCAGCTGACATGGACAGTCCGTACGGCATCTCTCGTGGCCGGTCTTAAGTACGGTGAGGAGGTGTTGGTCAGCTACCTGCCGCTCAGCCATGTTGCAGCCCAGCTAATTGACATGTGGATGTGTGTTTGTTTTGCCATGACAACATACTTCGCAGATCCAGATGCTCTCAAGGTATGGAAACCTTGAGCTGTATAAAACATTGAGTTATAATGAAGGTTTTCTATCTTGACTATAATCTCCATTCCGTTTTCCCAGGGCTCCTTAGTGAACACACTGAAGGAGGCTCGTCCCACTTGTTTCCTGGGGGTTCCTCGTGTGTGGGAGAAGATGCAGGAGAAGATGAAAGCTGTCGGTGCCAAGGCATCCCCAATGAGGAGCGCAGTGGCAGGCTGGGCCAAGTCCATAGGCCTGCAGTACAACTACAGTGTCATGAACGGGTAAGGACGAGCAAAGATTGTTTCATTGGTGCCATGCCATTTTTCGGAAATCCAAATGATCTGAAAGATTTCCAATTGGATCGAAAGCCCATTTTTCATGTAACAAATAGTTTTTATGCAGATGGCCCATACATGTAGCTTAGAAAATACACACTAGCACCAAACAGCAGCACATGGCTAATGATCACGCAAAATGATGTCATCGGACCTTTGCAGCTGCAATATTTGTATTCTTTTGTTTAGGTATTAGGAGTGAGGCACAGTTACAATAGCTAATCAGAGGAAGAGTTTGGCAGAGCATGCCTTCACAATACTAGGAAATAGATATAGCCTATAATAACTGGGATGGTCCAATGATGTCCTTCTGCATAATAATTAGCCATGTGTATCTTTTTGTTGTAATGAGAGTTTATACTATCAGAGCAGTCATTGATTTTATTATCAGGCAAATTGGCTTTCAGTTCGGACTTTTAGGGTTGCAAAATAATAGGAAGTCCAGCCTCATGTTTGCATTATAAAATGGCCGGTCACGCTGAACAGCTGATGCAGCTGAGGCTGACATTAGCTCTGCATGATTGTGGTTTGACATTTTGAGCTTATGATTACACCATATTAAGTGGAGATACCCACAGTGGCTACAAAACATCCTGAGGGGGAAATTGTTTATAGAAAATGTCATAGCAATCCATCCTGTAGTTATTTCGTTATGGGTCAATTTCAGCTCAACATTGCTACCTATTTTTTTATGGGCCGTTCTTAATTACTAACAATTCATGACTTCAAATATGTAACACATGTGACTTTGTATTTGGCTCATAGGGAAAATCAGGTGCCGTGGGGCTTCATGCTGGCTAATAATCTGGTCTTTAAGAGAGTCCGTGAAGCGCTGGGTTTAGACCGCTGCAAGTTCTGCTTCACGGGCGCTGCCCCCGTCACCAAAGACACTCTGGAGTACTTCATGAGCCTGAACATGCCGCTGTTGGAGTTATACGGCATGAGTGAAAGCTCCGGCCCACATACCATCTCTTCTAACAGCAGCTACTGCATCGCAAGGTCAGCAGCAAAGCATTATCTAACAAATCTAGTATATCAAATGTGATGCTGATATGAATGTGAGAATATTACAAGACTTTGTGAGATTCACTCACCTCTGTTTCCAAGTGATGTTACCTTAAGCAGTGTTGGTTGGAGCTTGCTTTGCCTCCTTCATCCCCATGACAACATTGCTCCTGTTGATAAGCGGTGATGATGCAGTGTATATGTTTTGGGCTTTAATTGTGAAAGTGAAATCATGACCCAGAGACGGACCGTTTGCATAGTGAAAGCAAGGCTTAAAGGCATCTAATCTAAATGCAGATAGTGTCATTTATTTACAGCCATTTATTGGTGCAATTAACATTTACTTCATAATCACAAGGGAGAGCTAAAGTGTTATCTATTGCCACTTAAAGTTACGTAACATACCTGTGTAAGATACCATGATCTTTTTCTAAACCTAACCATATAGTAGCGTAATTAATATTATGTGCTCAATCAGTTGAAGACGTCCTGACCCAGGGTCCGATGAGATGGGATTTAAGATGTGTTGTTTATTAATGTTTCCTCACTACTACCTTCCTACAGTATTTGCAATATGTTTATTATAAGCAGTTATAATCAGAAATTAAGAGGTCACAAGCCAAATAAGGTTGCGAACCACAGGTTTAAATATTCACTAAGGAGCATGTTTTCTTTTATTTTGACCTGAAAAATGTTCTTTCAATGATGTACATTGTAATGTATTATTTATATGTACTTAAAAGTTAAAGTAGGGGTGCAGTTGTAGTGCAACATTTGGTCACGGTGAGCTTGTTGTTTATTTATTTGTTGACTCTCCAGCTGTGGAAAGGTGATGCCAGGCGCCAAGACAAAGCTGGAGAACCCTGATCAGGACGGGAGTGGAGAGATATGTTTCTGGGGTCGCCACGTGTTCATGGGCTACCTGAACATGCCGGACAAAACAACAGAGGCCCTCGACCAGGACGGCTGGCTGCACTCTGGAGATCTGGGAAGACACAATAAGAATGACTTCCTCTTCATCACAGGAAGGATCAAGGGTAAGCTGTGTTCGCAAAGACAAAAAAACATTATAAATGTGATTCAACACAAGTTAAAAGCAATCAAAAGAACTTGTTGGTAACTGAATGGTTAAACGACAACGTTGCGTTCCCAGAGCTGATCATCACCGCCGGAGGAGAGAACATCCCTCCCGTACTTATCGAGGACTCAGTGAAGTCCGAGGTGGCCATCATTAGCAACGCCATGCTGATCGGAGACAGGCTGAAGTTCCTCTCCATCATGGTCACACTCAAAGTAACCCGGCCTCCACTTCTGCACAGGGTCACAGCTACTGAATAAATAAAACACACACAGTAATGACCCCTCTCTTTTTCCAGTGTGTGGTGGACGACAACGGCGATCCCACAGACGCACTGACCCCGGAGGCCTTGAGTTTCTGCCAGCAGCACAACGTCACAGCGACCACGGTGTCAGGGATCATAGCCAATAAGGAGCCAGCTATCTACACAGCCATTCAGGAGGGCATAGAGCGCGTCAACGCCAGAGCGACGTCCAACGCCCAGAAGATCCAGAAGTTTGTCATCCTGGAGCAAGACTTCTCCATCGGTGGAGGAGAACTGGGTGAGTTACTTTATTAAAACTGGGGCAAAGGTACAAACAACACTGTCATCAAGGAAGTATTCACTTCAGCGACAACCAGGTTCAATCAGCTTGAAATCGAGGGCAAGTCGTAATAGAAAGTATTGTGACTGTGTTGTCTGCCAGACAACATTCCACGAAAGATTGTTCGACAGTGATTAAATGTCTCATTTTGTGGGGGAAACTTCTGTGTAGCAATGCAGTGGGAGTCACCGACTCAGGAAGGAGATACGGGGAGAGCTGGAGCTTTGATGTCAAACACTGATGGTTTATTTGGAGCTTCGGCCAGAGAATTCACAAAACAAGTCACGAGTCAGAGGTTCTGACTTCACGGGAGAGTTGCCACGTAAAATCTGAAGAACTCTACCCCAGACCCGTGTATTTAGCTAGTTCAGAGAGAATAATCAACATTGTGCATAACAAGATAGAATCATAACACCTCTATCAGCTGACGCCAACAGGCAGGAACAGCGAGACAGAACACTTGAGAGCACAGCAGCCAAGGTCAGGACTTATCATGTTCTATCATGAACTGATAAACTGGGTCAAAGCTATGGACCTTGGAAAATATCTCCCCAACATCACCCAAAAACATTTCAAATCTGCAGTGGATCAAATGTTTGTGCCTCTACTTTGAGATTTAAGAACAGAACAGAATTAACCTGCCTTTCTTTTCTAATTTTCGTCTGTGCAGGACCCACCATGAAACTGAGGAGGCCCATTGTTGTGAAGATGTACCAGGAGAAAATTAACGAATTGTATGGAGTGGCCATGGAAAAGTAGTAGACTGTAATTGCACAGATAATGCTGAGGATAGGTGTTCTGAGAAACTGCAGGCATGTTTATGAATGTTCTACTGTGCACAGAGGTCATGTTGTGAAGTATATCAATCTCTTTTCAACTGAATGTTAAACCTTCAAAATACATTTTTTATTTAAGGGGAAAAATCATAAATCTGATTGTGTTTTTAATAGAAAAGTGTTTTTGCTGCTATGTTTAAATAAGCTTCTGTTATTATTTAAGCTGTTAAATGTACATACGGTCTCAAAGCAGCTGTGCACCTTTTGTAAATAAATCATCCAAATCAGAGCCAAATCTTGCCATTTCCCGTTGGCATATACGGAAAACACTGGATTGTGTCATTCATCATTTTTTTGTTTTTTAAGGAACTTTTGTTCTTCCACTGTGGCCTGAGAGATGAAACTCACTTGGACATAAGCTTACCAGAATGCTTACACTATGTTTGAAGCGGCGATTCATAAAGATTACTACTCAAAGATTTTACAGCATTAATCGCCAATTTCGTTCTCATGTTGTGAGATCATTCCAATCTAGCAAAGCTGTATACATTCCCCCTAAAAACTGGATGAAATATTTGATTTAAGATAAGAATATCAAGTTGATACATTTTTCCCAACACAAGTGCAATTTTAAAGCATACATTTTTATTTGTGCTTCTCCATGTACAGTTTGACAAATATTAAAATGTTTATTTTGTGGCAGATGTTCCACGATTGTCAATAAAGAGGGAACGAATCGACCAAACTTGTTTCAAATTGTACTTTGAAGAAATGAATCATTACTTTAATTTGTACAGTGCATATTGGAGGGATATAAACCACTGCTCTGCTAAATGTATTTATTTAGTAGGCACATATTAACACATACATAAACTTATGAATGTAATCATATGTATATGTTTATATATACTAGGGCTGTCAGTCGATTAAAATATTTAATCGCGATTAATCGCAAATTAATCGCACATTTTTTATCTGTTCTAAATGTACCTTAGAGGAATATTTTTCAAGTTTGTAATACTCTTATCAACGTATGAGTGGACAAATATGCTTTATGCTAATGTTTATTATCATTTCAACAATGACAAATATACTCATGAATATTAAACACAACAACCTCTGAACATTACAAATATTCGCCTCAATTCAACCTGGAACCTCTCATTCAATAATACAATACAAATGGGGTGTGTGTGTGTGTGTGTGTGTGTGTGTGTGTGTGTGTGTGTGTGTGTGGTGTGTGTGTGTGTGGTGTGTGTGTGTGTGTGTTGTGTGTGTGTGTGTGTGTGTGATGGATCGTTGGAGCTATGTGCAACTCAAGGCATATGCTCGAACGGGAGCTGCCTGGACCCTGAAATCATGTTGCGCACACTATCCGTGCTGAGTGTGCTGACTTTTCGTACAATGTCCCACTGTCTGGCTTCCTGCATAAAGTCAAGTGCTCGGCGCAGTTGTGGCGAAATGTATCCGTTAGCGCAGCTAGCTAGCACCAGATGCTAACAACAACAATGCACGTAAGGTCTCTCTCTCGCTTGCTCGGGCCACACATACACACACCCTCCCGGTCCTCCAGATGGCCAGTCGGTGCCTGCCGGTAAGCTTGGAAGTGTGGTCTGCCACAAGCGGGCAGCAGGAGCGGGGCTGTCAGCATCAGCTTGTAGATGGTATTTTAAACTCCATGCGCTCTGAAACTACGGGGCGGCCGAGGAAAAAAAATACACATGAGTTAAAATAATTAGTGGCGTTAATTTTTTTTGTTGCGTTAACGCGTTATTAACGCATTAAATTGACAGCCCTAATATATACATATAGAAAACAATGCTTTCAGTCCAAAACACTTTGTTTATTGTGCGTAGTGTCTCTTTTTGGCAATAAATCACACATTTGAATGTAAGAATGTACACAACATATGTGAATATTTTACATAATATTAACCTTTAAAGTACCGATATATCACCAAAAACTACGCTCTGCATCAGCCAAACGACTCGTTGCGCCCTCGCTGCGAGGGGGACCCAAGTTCCCATCGGCGAAAACACGTGGGTTTGCTATCCTGGCTCCAAGATGGTGGAATGAGCTCCCCATTGACATCAGGACGGCAGATAGCTTGCACATCTTCCGGCGCAAACTGAAAACTCATCTCTTTCGACTCCACTTCGAGCGTTAGAACGATTAACGAAGCACTTTTATACCAATAAAGGACTGGATTACCTAAAGCCAGTTGAGTAGCACTTGAAATGTTTGGCTCTATGAAACCTGATATACTTATATGATTCTGTTTTCTTCAAGGTTGTGTCTTCCTGGTCGAATGTACTTATTGTAAGTCGCTTTGGACAAAAGCGTCAGCTAAATGCAATGTAATGTAAAAAAACCTTATGTATATACTGTGTATACGTATATGTGTGAGTGTGTGTGCTGTAGTACAGCTCCCATACATAACAATGTGAAAAGAACATCTGCAAAAATTCCCTCTACTTCTCAGTCATATCAGTTTGCATTCTTAAAAAACTGGTTGTGTTGCTGCGGGAAAGTTACAATGGCATTTCTACGAGAAACAGACCCAGTTTAGCTGGACGTAATGACAATTTATCTAAACATCTTATCCTCCGGCATTGTTTTAAATAGTTAAACTGCATGTACAAGGTTGGGCTGCACATTCACTACTTGACGTCTGACAGACTGTACTGATATCAGTTCATATATCTGGAACATCCACACACTTGACATAGTTTCTTTGAACAGAAAGATGGATCAACTTCCTTCTGTCTGAAAGAAAACAGTATTACCCCCATTTTACCCGACCAACTGAATGACAACCAAACTTCCACATTTTCAACCAAATGTTAAATGTTCTACCAATCATACTACCTTCCAGTTAATATAAAACAAATATCAATAGAAGAAAATTATACTTTTTGGCCCATGACCAATCCACACAGCTTCCTGCACATTACTCGTCTGAGGCTGATTTAACCATGCACGTTGGAATTGTTAGTAATGGAACTTAAAACAATGAACAAGCTAAAAACACACATTATTATCCTGTAATTCAATTGAAACACTGACTTAAAATGCAGCAGCTAACAGTTTAACCAAGCAGGACCAATAAAGAGACACTAATCTTGAACACCCTGATCAGCTGAAGACACGTTTTTATCTTTGGTAGAAAACAAACACTAACGTCACAGCTTTGGGTGTGCTGCATACTTTTAGAAGATAATTAACAAAAATGTTCTGCCATGTGTTTTTTAGTGTCAGTTTATCAGAGGTCAAATCAGTTGTTGAACTAAATTGTTTACCCAGGAAACTTACACAACTGATATAATTTGAGTTGTAAGGCATGTTAGATTCATGCAATTGCAGAACAAATGATCCTTCATCAGGTTTATTATTGTGTGTTTATTTTACAGAACTGATACAGTACACATTTGGATATAGAGTACTCATGTGAATAAACTGTGCAGTATTATCTGTCAGTAACAACACAAAGCTGTCCAAATACAACCCTCTTAAATTAATAACTTGTTACCACTGATGTTATGTCCAAACACCAAAAGTCTTTGATAATTAAATTATCGATGAAGGTTTAAGATCATCTAAAAACAAGCGTATGAAAAAAGACATTCAGACATGTTAAGCTATTTAAGGCATAGAGATATATATTTTACACCATATGTTGAAAGATGAAAGACTGCACATTTGTTAAAGGGCCGGTTCACTCAAATTACAAAACACGAATGTTCTCTTTTAACTCTTTAACTGGGAGATATGAATTTTTAAGATTTCCAATCACTTCGATCCACATCCATGACATTTTATCACCTTATAATGATGTGAACTTGTGAAAAGAAGCAACAACAATTAATTGGAGTCATGCTTCTTGTAAAATGATGCATTCAAGTCCAATATTCACTCTTTGCTTTGCCTGTTTTTAAGTGCAGAGCAGGTAGCTTACAGTGGTTTTACCAGAGCTATGTCGCTGTTTACCACACCCTGCCAGTGACAAAAAACAGAAGGGAAGTGGACTAAAAATCTACATTTTGCTCTGTCGCATTGGAATGGAGGCAAAAGGAAAAACAACCTCAACATGTTAAGAAAAATTGGTAGATATAAATAATAAAAAAAGATGTGTTGTAGGCTACTTTGGGTGAACAGACTGTTTTAATCAGGGCAACACTGGCTTCTTATTTTTTATTTGGTAGTGATGGCGACTCCCTTGTTGACCCAGGCGTTGGAGTTGAGTAGAGAGAGCATGAAGCGAGCCACGTCTCCTCTTCCCACTGCGCTGCCTACAGGGAGACCACTGCCGTCGGGCACAAAGTACCCCTCATGGGTCAGAAACTCTTGAGCTGGAGAGACACAAAGATTACAAAATCAGCCGTTAGCTGTTAGAGCTCACAGCTCCTCATATCTGTTCAGAAACTGGACAAAAGTTAAACAAGTACAAACCACAGTCTGTCTGTCTCATGGCGAATACAGTCGCTGGTTTATTTATGTCTGTAGGCCGTTGTTGTGAGTGTGGACGGAGCATATACAACGTTAGCTTAGCCTGGTCGATCCGATCTTCATTCAGAAAAAAAGCATTCTAAAAGGTTTTTCGCCTGCCGTCTATCTGGAGACTTGTCAAGCAATATTTCATGTTTTTTACTAACCGGTATCAGTATGTTGTTGCTTCGACATCATTTAGAAACGTGTATTACAATTAAATCACGGTAAAATATGTTCATTGTGTTGTAGTTGTAGCCCCGAGCCTTGCGTCTTGTTTGAATTATGCGAATAAACCTATGGAGTAAACACAGCTGACAGCCGCGGTGAAACTCGAACGTTTAGAGCCGCGTCCGGTGAGAACGCAGTCTATAGGTGTGTCTCTTTGGTCTACTGCCTGTTTGCTTTTACCTGAAGCCTGCAGGTTCTTCAGACCAGGCGGGCGAACCACCGTCCAGCTGATGTCCTCGGTCTTGTGCAATAACTTCTCCATCTCATGCATGTTGGTGAGGACGCTGCGGATCATCGGCAGCAGGAGGAATCGAATCAGAAAAGATGACTGCGCTCCAGAGTTAGCTAACATCAACAAGAAAAAAAAAAACTTAGAAATTATCCTCTTACATTCTACAAATAATGTCAACAGAAAAAAACATTGTATTTAAGCTCTAATTGCAGTTCTTAGTGCTTACAATTCTAAATTAGAATGTAAAGTTACAGTACCCTGTTCTTCCAATGAAAATCAAAAAACAAATGTAAAACCAATATCCAAAATATAAAGAGGCAGTGGCCATGCTAGGATCTCTCTGAGTTTCTTTCTTGAAGTTTTATCCAAATCTGAACAAAATAATAAACACAATCATTTTATCTAGAAAGGCTTGATTGAAATCCACACTTTAACACTTGATATCTGAAGGTAATTTGAGAATGATAAACAGAAATAGATTACAGTTTATCAAAACAAAACCACTCCTAGGACATTGATACGGTGGACTTATTTCATTATTGAATCTTACAATGCATTATTACGTGTGCTGCACTTACGCTCTGTGTACCAGGAGGTCATGGTGATGATCTTGTTGACCCGGGCCTCTCGCATGGCACTAATCATGCTGGTCATGGACAAGGTGTAGCCCGAAACCCCTGAGAAGAAGGAGGCCGGGAAACCGAGGCAGGACATGACCACATCCTGTCCTTTGAAGTGAGTCTTCAGACTGTCTGCTGAGAAAATATCAGCCTCCACCACCTAGAAGTAGGGAAACACAAATAATTACTGAGGTGAATTTTACTTTTTTCAATCCTGCTGATGGATTTATTTGAGGCTTTATCTTGTATCATGTCCGTTTTGTCCATCTTTCTTCACTTGTTGTATTCTCTTGTAGCTTGGGTGTGGCACTGTACAGTAACTGTTTGCAAAAATCTTGTAAAATAGAAGAATAAAAAGCATTTGTTGGGGAATATTTGGATGGTGGATAACAGGGTCAACAGTGTAGAATATATCATTAAAGTGTTTTTAATAGGCAAGGCAAGTTTATTCATATAGCACCTTTTAACACAGGGCAATTCAAAGTGCTTTACAAAAAGAAAAGACATTAAGAAAATGGCATTTGAAAACAGTCATTAAAAAGCAAAGATAATAAAAATAAACATTAAAAGAAAAAATATATGCATAAAGATTACAGTGCAGTTTAAGATATGAAATGAATAGTTCAATTAAAAGCAGCGGCAAAAAGAAAAGTCTTCAGCCTGGATTTAAAAGTAGTAAGACAAGTAATAGCCAATAACACAGTTCTTTGGCTCAGAAGAATTACATGTGTCAGCCAATACTCAATTGCTATTATTAAGTAAGTAACTGTTATTATTTGGTCTTTTAATGGGATTTGTTCAGAGTAATGCAAAATAAAATAACACTGGGCTTTTTATCTTGGCAGTGCCCCACCTTCCTGTGTGCACAGTACCACACCCACATGTAAAAGTTGTTTTGGCTTATGTTAAGGAACATAAGCAGCACATGTTTTACCTCATACAACCATCCTTTGGACATGATAAAACATTTATCATTTATTTTATGACTGAACTTTGAGCCCAACATGCACGGAGCAGCAGCACAACACAACGACTACCACCCATTGGTTCCACATACCTTGAGGTTATCATGATGCACGGTGAGTTTGGCGGGGTTCCTGACGATGGCAGTTACGGTGTGGCCCTGCTGCAGCGCCTGGTTGACCAGATACTGTCCGGTCTGTCCCGTGGCTCCCAGCACGGCGATCTTCATCCTCACACTCTGACACACACACACACACACAGCTCAGTCAGGGCGGAAGCTTATCAATACACGACGCGTGACCAATGCTCTGACCCTGTTTCACAAGAGTACAGAAATGATTTATATGGTGCAATAAAGAAGCTCTCTCTTCGGAAGTTCGGTTTGTCATCTGATGGATTACGTGTTTAAATTGTGGATTCATGCTATACTGAATCCTTGTTTCTACAGGAGTCACTAAATAAAGATAAATACTTTTATAAAAAGGTCATGTTCAATGAAGACAATGTGTGGACGTTTTCTTAACATTTTAAGGGGGGCAAATTATAGTTTTAAATGTTAATACATCTACAATAATGTGTTTTAAGCTGTCCAGCCTTAATTTAAGTCCAACAAACTATTATAAAATAAATATATAAAACACAAAAATAGCAAAACCTCATACTTGCTAGCCTGGAAATAGAACATATTGAACCTGTTATGCCCCAAGGACGCCCTCGGCGGGTCCTTTTTTTTCACGACACTGTGTTTTAGGGGATCTTAATATTTAAGAACCTATTAATGTATTATACCAGATTAACGGGAATAATCTCAGCTAACTGACGACACAAACCATTTTTACCAAAACAAAACACAAGTCTCATAAGAAGCATCTAAATGACCCGAGCGAAAAATGCTAACACACTTTGGCACAGAACTCAAGATAAAAGATACCCTTATTACTTATCGTAGCTGCACATACAATATATCCGATTAAAGCTGAGGTTCCACAGATTATTTAGGTATATATATCATCACTAAATGATCCGAACTCGTGACAGGAGAAGCAAACTCAGACATCACAACACGTACCTTTACGTAGCTTTTACGGGAGATCCTCTCACCGTAGCTGTCAATCTGATCAAAAGACTTGTTCAATGGCATTAAAACGAGAAAAAACGCGGCTGAATCGGTTAATCCATAGGTTGGTAATGTTTCTGGGTAATACTTTTTTTAATTTATAATCCATAATTCAATTTTTATGTAAAAATCGGAGAGTAAAAGTTAGCTGCTAATGGTAGCCACCAGAATTATCGCAGCTTCCGGTCTTGGCTATGCGGCAGTTACACACATGACCAAATAAGGAGTATGTGGGAAATCCCCTCGACTCCATTGGCTCTGACGGTTAGAAAGAGATGTCAATCAGCAACATCGAACAAGGGGGGCTAGAGATAGGTCAAATCCACCCAAATGACCCCAGAAGTGTTTTTTGTGTGCTAAATCTCTCTAAAAAGGTCACATTTAACTTGTTTTGCATCAATCTTGATACAGGGTACTTATATGTTGTAGTTTGGATTCCTAAAGCTTTTAGTCTGCCATCCCATCATTCAAGGATGGTTTTCACTATAAGTAATTTTTTTACTGTGTTCAATCTGAATATACTTTAAAATAAAAACATCTATATTGATTCTGACACTTCTACATCCAACTCACAGGTGTAACCTTGCTTTGAGAAAAAAGATTATTAATTTAACCCTTTTAGAAGGGAAGATATGGTCATTTGTTCTGGGAATGTCATTTTCGAGCCTGAAACCTGAAAAGCAGGCTCAGGGTTTAACAGGATTGAAACAATTATTAGATTGCCTACATTTTTGCAGGGAATTTGACATTGGATTGCACATTGCTATCAATCGTATATGTCTTATGGGACTTTACACAACATTAAAACAACAATTCATTACAACTTTTTTTTAAGCTGTCACAGCTGAGTAACAGGAACATTTAAAATGGAGGTCAAATATGGACACACAGTGTGTCTTTGTTGAATTTGAACAGATTATCATTTCTGCAGCAGTGGAGGATGACGAGTGTGTGAGTCAGATGCTCTCTGAAGATTACAATAAACTGAATTCATCTCACATTATGTTGGTTAGGCAACCATTTTGAGAATGTATTTCCTGGAAGTAGTAGCTGCTATGTTTAAGTTTATTATCGTCAACGTGGAGCCACATGCTGCACTGTGACATCAGCAGAGTTAAATAAAATGCAAGGATGGGCTATCATTTTATTGATTTATTTTCTATAAAAATGTAAAACCCTTGTTATGGGACTGACTTTTTTCTCAATTGAAAAAGCCAACATTCATAATAGATAGATTGATAGATCTTTAATTTGTCATTGTACAGGTACAACGAAATTACAATGAACTCAAGGTGCCAACACGCAACAACAAGACAATATGACAATCTGAGGTGGTATCTCTTGAGTATTCTCAGGAAGTATAGTCTCTGCTGTGCCTTCTTGACGGTTGCCGTGGTGTTGGTCCTCCAGGACAGGTCCTCCAGGACAGGTCCTCCGCCAGGTGAACGCCCAGGAATTTGATCACTGAGACTCTCTCCACACAGCCTCCATCAATGTACAGGGGCTGCATGTCGGTCTTCTTCCTCCTAAAGTCAATGATCATTTCCTGGATTTTCAGCATGTTCAGCTGCAGGTTGTTTACTTTGCACAACGCTAACAGTTGCTCCACCTCGTCCATGTACGCGGTCTCGTCACCCCCTGAGATGCAGCCCACCATGGTGGTATCATCAGCAAACTTTGTGATGGAGTTGCTGGTGTGGGCGGGGACGAGATCATAGGTGTAGAGGGCGTAGGGGGGCTCAGCACGCAGCCCTGTGGTGACCCGGTGCTGAGACTGAGGGACGTGGAGGTGTGGGTGCCTACCCTCACTCTCTGGGGGCGATCAGACAAGGAATGGGATACTCCCAGGACTGATAGCTTGGTCACCAGTGTCATGGAGGATGGTATTAAATGCCGAGCTGAAGTCCACGAAGAGCATCCAGGTGAGACAGGGTAGAGTGGAGAGCTGTGGCGATGGCGTCCTCCGTGGATTTGTTGGCCCTGTAGGCGAACTGGTGGGGGTCCAGACCGGGAAGGAGGGATGAGACGATGTGGGGACGGACCACCTTCTCAAAAACGTTAGCGGGGGTGGAGGTGAGTGCCACTGGACGGTAGTCATTTAGGCAGCCGATGTTGTTCTTTTTCGGAACCGGGATGATTGTGGATGTTTTCAGGCAGGATGGGACGATGGCCTGGGACAGGGACTGGTTGAAGATCTTGGTGAAGATCCCCGCCAGCTGGTCAGCGCAGTCTCTCAGCACCCGTCCTGAGACTCCGTCCGGCCCCGCTGCTTCTCTCGGGTTTACTGCCTTCAGTGTGCGTCTCACCTCGTGCTCCGTGAGGATGCTGAGGGCAGGTGGGTGTAATGGTGTGGGTGTAATGGTGTGGCTGCTTCCGATAGCCCCGTCTCATAGCGGGCGTAGAAGGAGTTCAGCTCCTCCGCCAGCTGAGGGTCACCCCCGTCGGCCGAGGGGTGGCTGGGTTTGTAGCTGGACCCCCTGCCACACCCGCCTGGAGTCGTTGACCCGGAAGCAGTCCTCAATCTTCCCCTTGTAGTCCATCTTGGCCCGCTTGATCCCCCGCTTCAGGTCGGTTCTGGCAGTGCTGTACAGCTTCCTCTCACCAGTCCTGAAGGCGATGTCCCTCTCCCTGACCAGGTGCTGCACATCTCCAGTCATCCACGGCTTCTTGTTGGGATGAACCCGGATGCGCTTATCCACAGTGACGGAGTCTGAACAGTGCTTGATGTATCCCAGGACTGCTGATGTGTACTGTTCCAGGTCCTCATGTTCGAAAAAAACCCAGTCGGTGTTCTCAAAACAGTCTTGCAGCTGTGGAGTGGCGTCTAAAGGCCAGGTTTTAATTGTCTTTATAATGGTGGAAACACTTTTCCTGATGGGGGAGTAGGCCGGAATTAGGAGAAGGGACACATGATCTGACTGGCCTAGGTGCGCTTTAGCTCTGTAGCCCCCCTTAATATTCGTGTAGACCTTGTCCAGTGTGTTATCCCCCCTCGTGGCATATTTAACATGCTGGTAGAGTCTGGGAAGCACTACCTTTAAGTTGGCATGGTTAAAGTCCCCCGCCATGATGTGGACAGCCTCACTGTGACAGCCTCAGGATACATGCTTTGTTGACTGCTAATAGCATCATGTAGCTGACTTAGCGCCGCGCTAGCATTGGCATCTGGTGGAATTAGGGCTGCACGATATTGAAAAAAAACTGACATTGCGATATATATTTTTTTCCCCTGCGATATATATTGCGTTTTTTTTAGCTATATTTAACCGGATGAAGGATTTTAGTCACGGACGACTGGATCTTAACTGGTTGACTCATTATACCTTAAGTCATGATCTAACATGTCATGATAATGCATGTTGCTTACCCTCAAATAAGGGGGTTCATCTGTGAATGAAGAAGAGAAGAACCTTTTTGTATCCAAAATAGTTCCAGATGGCAGATGTTGCTTTTCTTTTTGGAAGTAAATCTTCATTCTCGCCGGTATTGTCCTCCTGTTCCTCGCTAATTTTTTACCGGTGTTTTGATGGTCTGCAAACTATAGTTTTGCAGACAAACTATAGTTTGCAGACCAAACTATAGTTTGCAGACCATCAGGGGCCTGCTGTGATCTGATCAAGAATGATTGTGATTGGTGGTTTGCTGTGCATGCAGAGCCTGCATGTCACTCACTCAAGTACCCCAGAGCCGCGCAAGTTTTCCTTTTGTAGCAAGCAGCAAAATAATTGTAACATGACGTGTTTGAGTTAATTTACCTACTTAATATCGCACGTCCTAAAAAAAAAAAAATTATAATTTTTTTTATAAAATCGCACGTCCCTGCGATGTGAATATTGCGCATGCGCATATCGCGGTTATCGCCATGACACGATATATCGTTCAGCCCTAGGTGGAATATATACTGCAGTCTGCAGTTATCAATACAACATTGAACTCCTGTAATCCTGAGATACTAATGAAAGATAAAATGTATCAAATATTGTATGTATTATCCATTCGTTATTGATTCAAACTTGAATTCAAAAAATAGAATAAAGTATATTTTAGGAAAGTTTTTATACTTTTTAAAGAAATAATATGTTACATTTCTCCACTAACATATCTAAACCCAAATACATCATTGCAGACAGTATGTCACCCAGTTTTTCAAAATAAAAGGTGGGTGTGGTCCATGAGCATACTTGCCAACCTTGAGACCTGCGAGTGAGAGGTGCCTGTCATCTACAGTTTTGAAGCTTTTGTGCTTTTCTTTGCCATAGTCCACTTTGGACTATATGAAATATTTCAGGATTGCACTTTTAACTTGAAATGTTCTCACTTGCTTGGTTTCAAAACATAACAAAGGCCATAATCTGTTCATTGGGGACCATCAATGCTATTTTTCATTGCTGTTGCCGCCACTATTGCTCATGTAAACCTACTACTGCTGCGCCCCCTGTAATCTCAGAGGCACCCTGAGTAATTTTGTTCTGGAACCGGGCCTGTACATGGCCATATACTAAACAGTAAACACACTACAGAGCCCGTTCCGTGTCCCGTTAGTGTTTACTTCCTGTCTGCCTTCTTCTGGTGATTTATCTGACGTCCAGCGCTCCGTCTTTTAACCTCTTTTCCTTTCTCTTTCCTGATCCTCTTTAGCAACCTTCATTATAGTCCTTGACAGTGGATTAACAACGAGTCACATGTTAAGAATTTATAATCAGAATCGAGTATTCAACTAAGCCGTGCAAAGTTGTTAGTATAGCCTTAAGGGCCTACACAGTTGTTATGCTATACCACATTGCCCTTCACTGGATGTATAATGAGCTGCACTAAACTACATTTTAGCATTTAAAATACCTAGCCATTCTTTTGCGGTTATTTTGGTGAAAGTAACTCAAAAGTAACTCAAAAGTAGTGTAACTCATTACATTTCAGAGACAGTAATATTGTAACTTATTATTTTCAAAAGAGAGTAATAAGTAATATGTAATATATTACATTTTGGAAGTAACTTGCCCAACACTGGGTATATTGATAAGTAGGCCTAAGTATTGCAAAATAAATGAACTTTCTATTAATACAAGGCAAGGACTGTTAAATATATAAAGACTGTTGAACACGATAGCATTAGTTTTAAGTACCGAACAAGCTGTCAATGGAGTTAATGTAACAACCACATTGAACCTCACATGAACCCATAACAGAACCTGTGTTTGTGAGCGACTCAAACACACCTCCTTATGCCATGCAACACGCGGAGCAACACACGTTTCTCCTACATTTCTCTTAAATATGACAATTCGCTATTAATTGATGTCAATATAAAACACAGGACAGCTTGCTTTTAGCTTTTTAAAAGGTTTCTAGCCAACATTAGCTAACTCACCTCCGCCATACGTTTGCAGTGCTGCGGGATGCGTTCAAGAGCCGCGGCGTTCAGGTATGTTTGTAAAGCAACGTAATGGGTTTTATATATTAAATAACATGTCAATTGATGTTGGTCATAAACAGGATGATGTTACATGACCCTTTCAAGTTAATCTCGTAGTGAAATTGCATCCCAAATATTTGATTAGCACCTAGCGTTATAACGTTGTGTAAATGATTAGCCATTCGTTGGAAATTAGCTTAATTATTAGCCATGTGTAATATTGTATTCCTATCAAGTTCTAATACATTTTATTTATGTGGTCATTTTTCAAGATAAAATATATAAATAAATACAGCTATAAAGATACAACTTTGGACTGGTAACCTTTGGTGTACATTTGAGCTTTTTTCATTTAATTTAATTGTAATAATAATGATTCAAAGATGTAACTGTGTGGGACTTGCAGCAAGTGAAATGAAGTAATATTTTTAAATTATGTTCTAAATCACTTGTTGGGGTTTACATTGGGGAAACATTTGAGGGGTAAAAACAGTGATAAATTAGTTAAAGTTAATACTGAATTGTTTTTGGGGAGACATACTTTTTATTACAGCCTGCCATGAACATAACTCTAATGTCAGACAACTATCATCGTTGCAAGTGAAACATGGAGATTACCTTTATTTTGCTCAACATAAGGTGACATCTAACAAACATCATCATGCTTAGGTTTGGTAATACCTTACTTACTTCATAGCACACAATCCAAAAAAGAAGCCCATGTGATCAAAAAAGACCAAAAACACATCCTGGCCGCTTGTTAACTATAGTTTCCCGCGGCACTTCACCCTCTTCCTATAAAAAGACCAGTCTAGTCGCATCAAGTCATTAGCTCAAGTAATCCACTTCTGACTCTGTGTCTTTCTCATACGATCACACACTGAAGCACTAAAGACTAAACCAGCTTCAGCACAGACTCACGGAGCTTGATGAGGCCTCTGTGCTGAGTTACTGGGTTTTGCTGTCATTCTCACATTACAATGATGGTCTGATAGACATCCTGCAGTTCTTGACCTGTTGGACTGTTGGAGGATGAAACAGAGCAAATGGCTGTTTGAACATTTATTGAAACTGCAAGCCAAACAACTTGGGAGCTGTTGACTGGATTGAAGAGGTGACCACGTAAGTACACTGCTGATTTAAAGATCTCGTATTTCTACAGCAGTTAGATCAAGTGAGTTAAACCAGAAAAAAGCAGATAAAGACAGAAACATCTTCATGTTCCAGATCTGAATCAAGAGCTTCTCAAAATGTATTTTAGTCCACTTAAAATGCCAGGCTTACATTGTAGTACAGATCTCTTTACATGTTAGCAAAGTCACCCATCTGTTCCTTTTAAAGTAGGTCATAACCAGCAAGAGAATTATGTGCCACCCAATTCAATGAAATGTATATTTTAGGTTTGATTGATCAACCTAAAATACAGATTGATCAATCAACGGTTGTGTACATTGTAAACATTCATTAAGGGATTATTTGTTTACCGTATACAACAGATGGTGATTTAAAACAATAATTTGTCCATTTCATAAAAACTACTTCAGTCCATACAGATATTTCCTCCCTTTTTCACTTTCATAGATGGTATTATTTTAGTCTACATTAAAAAAAGCCCCGTGCTTTAAGATTGAGGCCAATCACAGAAGTGAGGAGCCAGCAGTAATGAGATTAAAAGGTTGAACGTCTTCCAACTCCAGCTCTCCAGCTGATGACCAGCCACGCTCAACTTTCCACTCTGTCAATGAACAGGGTCAACTGGACTGTAGCAGGTTACTAAGTTGTTGTAAAGTCTGTTTTGTGACTCCAAAAAAGTAATGCACTCCTCTGATAGCTTTTACATAATGTGATGTTTGGTGCTTTGAACAGGAACAGTCATGGGATGTGGCGTCTCAAAGTCCAACCAGTTCCACAAAAACTCTGGAAAAGGTAACCATGATCCTTCAAACATTGACCGATACACCTATTTTTCTCTCTTAACCTTCTGAGATGTATATAAATCCTCACCACTATGTCCCACTTGTTGTCTACCATAGTTTACCCTTCAGATGTAATCTCCCTGTTGTATTTGTTGTAATAATCTGTATTTTTCTTTGACCTTTTTCCTCTGCTGCTGTCTGCAGCTGTTATAAGTAAGCCACACCTTGCTGTGATTGTTGTTGTTGTTTTCCATATGAGTATGAGGGCAGGTGGAAGCAAGATTGAATACCCAGCTTAAGCAGAGATGTTCAGATATTTCACACAAGCTAAACACATTTTTGTTGTGGAGGGAATTTCCAGTTGTTGTGGTGAGTCTGAAATGATACATACAAATAATTGAGTTGAGAATTGAACTTAAAATAAACACCAAAGAGCTACAAGCTTATAGTGATAATGTGGTAAATCTTATTTTTTTACTTCCCTTCTTGTTTTGTCTGTTATGGTCCGTGCCAGATTGTTGGTCTCAATACAGGGCAGGGCAACCTAGGAGGATATCACAGTATTGTTCAAAAAGATTTTTACCGGTGTTGACATAAATATCAAATGTTGGCAATATCACAATCTCTTATAGGCTCCTTTTCAATACATAACAAATGTCAAGTTTGTTTTAAGTCATAACTGAACCAGAACTTTCTTTTTAAATGTGTCTCCTAATAAGAAGGATACGAAGAACGATTATTAACTAAATGTTGGAAAAGCAATAGCATGTTGTGAACAATTCTATCATTTGAATATTTTCTGATCATCTTTTGTCGTCGTTTCAGCTATAAAATCTGCCGTTCTGATTCAGCGATGGTACCGTCAGTTTGTCGCCCGCAAAGAGATGAGGCGGAGATACACCTGGCACATCTTCCAGTCCATCGAATACTCTGGAGAACAGGCTCAGATAAAGGTGAGAAACAACAGGGATGGTCCTGTATATGTCTCTAAATAGTAAGAATGAACATAAGATCTTAACTTTCACGTCTCCTCCACTTGTAGCTTTATAACTTCCTCGGCTACCTGATGGACAATTTCACACCTGCAAGCAATGAGCGTAAGCTTTGACATTTTAACAGACAGTTTATTTGACGAGCATTTCCTGAATCCCTGACTTTGAACTGTCCTCTTGTCCTTGCTTCCAGGGAATTTGATCTCGCACATCTTCAGAGAGAATGAGGTCTGTCGGGATGCAGAGTGGGAGAGGTACTTCTGCTACAAGAACATCGAGGTGCCAGATCTTTACTCAGGACCCCACCTCACCTTCCCTCTGACGGTGGAGCAGGCGGTGGGGCTGGTGGAGGCCTTCAGGAACAAGAAGGTAGGTGCACACCTCCACTTTACAGTCCAGCCTTAAAGAAACATGTACCTCCGTCACAGTTCATGAACAGACTCACTGGTTTTGTATCACTGCACATGATAGTCTACTTCTCGTGTTTCACTGGACCCGAAATAACATGACCAGAATTTAACATTATGAAGTTTTAAAGAAATCTGACAGGTTTGCAAGATTTTTGGACAGTCTCAGATCCACAACAGACATTATTCTATAGAAACATGCTAAGGTGTGTCAATTGACCACTACAATCATGTGTATTCATTTAAGAAGGAGTCTGCTTTTTACTTAACAAGTATTTCTTGGTATTAATTATATATATATAAAAAATAAAAAACATCTGTATCTTCATTGGCATGTTATCATTATGACATTTTCCTTCTTAACTTGTTGTTTAGTCGGCAGAAAAGCAATCTTTAAAAATAAATATCATTTGTTTATTGTTGTTGTTTCACATGCTGTGCTATAAAAAAATGCCTAAAGCTCAAACCTATGAATCAAAATATCACTGCTGTGGTCTTACCTGTTCATGTGTCTAAAACCTTTTTGCTAATAAGTCTCTCTCCCAGTAGCAGCTGCACTCGCGCTACGTCCTCCAGCTCCTGCTTGAAACGTGGAAACAGCTTCGGCTATTGCCAAATATCAACCGTATCTCCACCTGCCACAGCAAAGAAATCACTATTTGTGGTGAGATTTGATCAGTTCATCATTTTACTAACTTAAAGTGATCTGATTCCAGCGTCTAGATTGCTAACTGAATCTTTTGGAGTTTTAGACTAATCAAGAAAATTGCTCTGAAAAAAAACTGCCTCTCTGTTGTGAAGCACTTTCTGACTGTAATGTAGGCAGTTTGTTTATGTTTGTTGTTATTTATTCATCAACATATATCCTCTTCATTACAGGAGATTTGCATGGACAACTGGAAGACCTGCTGCTGATTTTCTACAAGGTACATATTTTCTCTTCTAAAATCTAAAACTGATAGAATAGCTGACGTGAAAATGTTTTTTTCTCATGAGCTATGATTATTTAATTTTAAAAAGAGGCATCTATAGAAATAAATATTTGATTGAAATCTTCTACTGTTATTAAAACCTCCAAAACCTCCTTCTGTACTCCAGGGCCCGATAGTAGTTATCAGGTTGCAAGTAAATTAATTATTGTTTATTATTTCAATTTAAATGATTGAGTGAGTATTTATATATCATGTAAAATAAATATTCAAAAACACTAAGGTGTCTTCAAATGTCTTGTTTTGTCTGACCAAACCTCGTTTATTTTTATTTTCATGATTTGCAATTGAGAAAAACAGATTTATTTTCTAAAATGAAACTTGAATGATTAATCATTTTCAAAACGCTATCAGCTAATCGTTAAATCAGTTATGATTCGTTTTACTGTCAAGCTGCAACATGCTGCATTATTCTACATTTAGAAAACACCGAATTAGTGAACCAGGATCAGTGCTGTGGCCTGTAATGTGTTTACTTTGAGATTACAAAATGACTCACTCCTGATGGCTTCATTTGTTTACATCACAGAATGACATGCCGTCCTTGGAGAAGCCGTATCTGTTTAACGGAGACTTTGTAGACCGCGGCAAAGACTCCATAGAGATCCTCATCATCCTGTTTTCATTCCTGCTCGTCTATCCAAGTGAAGTGTACCTCAACAGAGGAAACCACGAGGACCACATAGTCAACCTGAGGTGAAACCATGTCTAACTGGGGGGGTGAAGCCTAAAATCAGAGTTTATAACTGTCATCCTGTGTGTCTCTGGCTGATGTAGGTACGGCTTCACAAAGGAGGTGTTGTCTAAATACAGGGTAAGTTGTTAGCACCATACAAACTTTCCATGCACATGTTTGGTAAACTCCAACCCCTGCTTATTTAGTAATCCCGCCTGCGCCTACACACTCAGTAAAGCTTGATACGGGCCAGATTCCTTCCTAATATAAAAAGGGACACTCCTCCTCGCGGCTGAGAGGATTTGACGTCTTTAAAGTTGACTGTCTGACGTCAAAGATCCACAAGGGAATCCCCAGATGTCCCAAATGTTTCAGGTTACTGTCCTTAGTTTGGATACAATTATAAACAAGTATTAAGCTCACAATCTGGAAAAAAACATTTTAATTGGAGCCATACCCAGACCAAATGTATTAATCAATAAGAATACAAATACTTTATCTTCTATACTTTAAATAAAGATAAAGAACATAAAGTAGAAATGTGCGCGTTGTACTACAATTGTAAACGTATGTCCTACAAACACAGATAAAGACAACAACAGCATCATGACAAGAAAAATTCATAAAACAAAGTTAGAAAGTACTGGACAGGCGATGCAAAATCAGTGATCCTTATCAAGAAAGATGTTCAAATGTCAATGTTAAATAATGACATTTTCTGCATACATTGTTCTTATCTTAATGTATTTGAAATCAATAAAAATACAAGTGTGGATGTGGAACCAGTACTGGGGGTTATTGTTATTATTGTTATTATTTATTAATTAAACTTGTTGATGTTGTTTTAGATGACAAGTTGTGGTTGCAATTCATTTCCCCCCCTCCAACCCTATTTATTTAATTCCAAAACAGATAAAGCTGAATTATTAGATGGCAAATATATCAAAAGTAAATGTTCAGCCACAACAATATAAGACAAATAAAATCATTCTAATAATTTCATAAAAAATAAACAGAATGTGGGCTTGGTGTTTTGTGTATGATGGCAGACAAAGTGAATGAACAGGTTACATGTCAAAGCAGCGCCATCCTCAAACAAGCAGGACATTTGGCATTTCCTAAATATGTTTGCTGTCAAAGTGTGGGAATTCAAATCTGGTGAAATTATTGTGTAAAATGTAATCCTGGAATAAAAGGAAAAGAGTACAAACTTAACTCGGGCTATAAGATATGGCTCCTCTTTCATATTGGCAACAAACTCTAAAACTGAAGAATAAAGAAGGGATGGGGAATTTAATTCCTGTTCGTCCTCAGATGCACGGCAAACGGATCCTGAAGCTGCTGCAGAAGATTTTCAGCTGGTTGCCGTTAGCGACTGTAATAGACCAGAAGGTGCTGGTTATCCACGGAGGGATCTCCAACACCACCGACCTCAGCGTCCTCGCCAGAGTGGACAGACACAATGTGAGCCTCGAACACAGGCATGTTCATTTTAAATGTTTTATCAATCATCCTGAAAGCCATTGAAATTCCTGCTCTGTTTTTGTTCCAGTACAACTCGGCGCTGAGGCCTCCGAAGAAGAGACACCAGAACGTAGCGGGGAAGTCCATCGACTCGGACGAGGAGGCGGGGTCCACCAACAAGGTGTTCCAGCGCAGACCCTCCCTCACGTTTCCCAGAACTCTGACCAAAGACTGCTTCCAGAACCGCTCGCTGCAGGACTTCTCCGACCGGCTCAGAGCGAACACGGTGGAGGAAGTGGAGATCCACAAGAGGCTCCCGGGCCCCTTAGGACCAGAAAATGACACGTCTCAGTCCTGCGAGTCTATCAGCAGCGAAGACGAGTGGAGACAGGTGAAGAACGACTAGTGAGGGCTTTGCTCAGATACTTACAAATATATAGCATGGAATTACACATTGAGTTTTTTTTTTTTAAACCTGTGACACCTGAGGGTATTCATATGAAAACAGATGTGAATGTCAGGGGATCTGGTTATTAACCTCCATTCGGGATGGGTGGTACTCTATACTCTTACATCATGCCAAAGTTGGGTCCAGCCAGTGGCTTCTTCTTCAAATCAGCAGCTGGGTATATCAGCTTGGTCTGAGTCCGAACACAAAACAACATCGCAAAATGTATCCAGTTCAACAGATAAAGATTGGCCACTGACATCGCCGAACATCATCATCATTTCTAAGCTAGGTCGACCTTCCAACCCTCAACCATCCTTGTCTTTTGTTTTGTTCCCAGGAGACCCTTAAGTCATAACCCTGTTTGAGTAGAAGGTCAACACTCATTAATGGTTTTACGCGAGTATGGGGCTTGTGTGTTCTTCTCAGGTCTAAAGTTTCCTGAATTAGATTTTTAATTAGTGACGTCATGAGAAAAAAAAGTTATTTTGATTGCGAGGGCTTAGTCAGTCCTGAGTCACACCCTGACAGACGCTCCATCAGTGATCAACACTCGCCTGCTGAGGATTGTTGCTTGTGTGGAGCTTTAACGTGCTGTAATCCAGCGCATCATGAATCCCTCTGCAGTGTGTTCACCACCGTCACAACCTTAAGCACGATCAGGAGAAGTCAGTGGTCTCATTTGACTCTGATACTTTGGTACATCGTTGTAAACAACTCAGAGTAACTCATTCAGTAAATTGTTTGACCTATAAAGCGCCTTCCGCTGTAAACACGAGTAACAGCAGCTGGAAATAACTGGTATTTAATTGTTGAAATTCAGAATAAGATATTTTAGAATTGCTATTCCAGTGAACAGTCAATCAAATCAACACAGGGTCCGTTAGTAGCTGTTGTGGAGATCTTGATCTTATGATCTTGCTCAGCAGATGGAGTTTGTAGATGTTATATTTCCCTTTTTCTAAGGATGCTCTATCCATGTTGGCTTGAAAACATGTTTTTTTCCTTATCATGACCTTGTGTTGTCAACTGCTATTTCTGAGGGTTCCTTTTCCCTTTTTATGTCCCTTTTTTTAGAAAGGTCTGAAATTCTCCAATTCAATTATTTTTCATTTTCAGGTGTACCAGTATTTCATTTTGCACACAAAAAATCTGAAGGTTTTAATCTAAATCTCTCTCGTCTGTCCTTCCCGTGTGCCTCCAGATCCTGGACTTGCTGTGGAGCGACCCCATGGCTCAGGACGGCTGCGTGCCCAACGAGGTGCGGGGCGGGGGCTGCTACTGGGGCCCCGATGTCACTGAAGACTTCCTGAACAGACACAACCTGCAGCTCATCATCCGCTCGCACGAGTGCAAACAGGAAGGTTACGAGTTCTGCCACAACCGTAAGGTGAGCTCAGACTCTGACAGCCCGAAGACCCTCTAATGTTTTCAGAATTAACTAAATGATTTTCTTTCATTTCACCTAGGTCCTCACACTGTTCTCCGCTTCAAACTACTATGATGTGGGAAGCAACAGAGGGGCCTACGTGAAGTTGGGTCCAGACCTTGTGCCTTATTTAGTTCAGTACCAGGCCAGCAGCATGATCAGAGAGCTCAGCGTGAGACAAAGGTACAACAACACTTCCAGAAAGTCTTCATCTAGACAGTGGGAGTCATTGGTTTATTATTTATGCATTTTATCAGTTTTTGGCTATAGAAATGTCAGAATATTTCCTGTAACACTAACAACAAGCCTTTAATTATTTTTCTGTGTTTTATTTGTTGTTGTCTTGTTTGCAGTGCGGGGCGGAGCGAACGCTCAGCCAACAAAGTCCTGCGGGAGCAGCTGTTTGCACATAAATCCGACCTGATCTGTGCCTTCAAAAAGTTGGACAGTGGAAACAAAGGTGTGTGTGTGTGTGTGATTCCAGCAGTCAGATCAGGTGTTATTTAATTGTGTTGAAGTTCTCTTGTGTACTTGAAGTTCTCGGAGGACAATGTGTGGCTAGGGAGAAATATGAGCTCCCAACTGTTATCCCTATTCAGATAAAAACTGTGGGCTGACCCAAAGTCCATTCATGAATGTTTGACAGTTTCATAGAAACTTGTTGTCTTGGGATTTACTCGCTATTCTTGATTCTCAAGTACATTATAAGCATATCATGTGTTTTTTATGTAGTTTAGCTCATCAGTTTGAGTTATTTCACTTCAAATGTACTTGTTTACAGGGGAATATTTAGTGTAATTTTCAAAGAATATGATTTTTAATGGCTTTACATTTTATTCTGGTCCTTAGAAATAATACTTAGCTTCTGAACGACAGGGGACGTTCAGGTGGCAATAAAAAGTCACACACTCACTACATAACACGTAATGGATAATCAATTGAAATATATTGTGAAAATGTTTGGCTTGGATCATTATAATGGAAGGTTATGATGGTCAACCCCATGTTTTAAAATGAGTTGTTGAAGCAACAGTTTGTTATACAGATTTGGTGCTATAAAAAAGTTGTTCTCCATTTAAAAATGGTCAACATCCATTTGAAGTACCACAGGAAGGCCTTAAGGAATACCATCAGAATGCATGCTGTGATTTGGTATAATAAACGTACGATAGGACTACAATCAAGCATCCATTGACATAACTGGAAAACAGTTGTTGGATAAATCAGGTGACGGATGACATTTCCTCCTCCCTCAGGTCGTGTCAGTCTGGCCAACTGGGCGTCTGCGGTGGAGAGTGTGATGCGCCTCGGCCTGCCCTGGAGGATAATGCGCTCTCAACTGGTCACCGGTCGCTCTGCCGACAGCTCCATCGACAGCTCCATCGACTACTACGAGTGGTTCAACGAGCTCGCCATCAAGGGAGCCAACGCGGACGTGAGTTACCGAGCTGGAGACAGAACGCCACAGAAATAATGCAGTCTGATTTGATATCTGCTTGCATATGTTGATTCAGACACACTCTAACTTAAACACACTTAAATACTGTTTAAATAACTTTCTTGCAGCATATTGACCAGAGTCTGCTTGAGACTTTGTATCGCCACCGCTCCACCTTGGAGACCATCTTCAGAATCGTAGACACGGACAACTCAGGTAAAACTATTTATTCATCACTGGAAAAGAAGTTGCACCATTTGTGCCCAAATACTATATTTGACATATAACAAAAAAAGCCATGTAAGACAATATTTTGGCCGAGCATCTTACTGTACAATACTTCAAACTTTTAGCAATAGTTAAATGCAGGGCTGCCCCTGACCAATTTGTGGCCCCACGCAACATTGTGTGAAGAGGGTCTGTGTCACTCCCGTTAGCACCGGAGCCTCGCAGCGGGGAAACTGTGGCGCGCATAGTAGCACCGCATTTGCGCATAAGATGAGTTACGCCACATTTGCGCATATGACGAGGCCCCCTCCGAAAGATAAGGCCCCACGCAGTCTGCCTGATGGAGGGGGGAGTAGGGAGGGGTTGGCCTGGTTAAATGAGGAAAGGCTTTCATATAAAATAGTATTTTAGTCTACATGTGTGCATATCTTTGATATTCAGCTTGTTCTGAGTACATAGATTTTTTTAGATTTTCATGGTCTTTGGGCAAATGGGACTAATGATTAATTCCTGAAAATAGGATGATGTATATAGAAAAAACTATTGTCCCATATGCCCAACGATTAAATAAAAAGTTTGTTAACCCATTATACAAAGACTTTTCTGATGCACAGACCATCCAATGAGAGACGGTGTTCTTCAGTGGAGGTGTGAAGTGTGTCAAGGCTTTGTAAAGTGCTTATCCACCTGTAGCTATGTTTAGACGAGGATTAACCCACTGATCTACTGGCCTCCCCCTCCTCTCACCGCGCACACTTTTGCCCCTCTCAGCCGGTTTCTATCACAGCATCTTTAACTTCCTCCCTCCACCCAGGCTTCATCACCATGGAGGACTTCCGGCAGACCTGGAAGCTGCTGAGCGTCTACCTGAAGATGGAGATCACGGAGGAAGCCATCTCGGACCTGGCCGTCACCATCGACAGCAACCAGGACGGCAGCATCGACATCGAGGAGTTCATGGAGGCCTTCCGCCTCACGGACAAGAAGAGCCGACTGGAGCGAGGACGCAGCATGTTCATGGGGACGGCCTCCGACCTCACCAAGCTGGAGGGAGACCCCAACATCTGAGCAGAGGGAAACACTGAAAACTGACCTCAGCTCAGATTCCTCACCGGGTAGCAGGGGGAGGGGAGACGGGGCAGATAAAGCCAAGCTGCTTCTATGACGCACATTGAGATGTAGGATGCTGCAGAGCAACAGCCGTGTTGATCACATGGGATTAAGGCGAGGCTAGAGTTCAGGGTATTTGACAGCAAATGTCCACTTGACATTTCAGTGTAGTTTTAAGGTGAAACCAACTGTTTATTTTATTAAGATATAATCACACAAAAAGTGTTGCATAAACCACAAACACAGAAACAAAAGAACATCACATTTAGGCTGAATTGTTCAAATAATAATAATATTAGATTCTGCATTTATTAGCCATATCTGTCATTATTTTTATCAAAAGACTTTAAAAGTGAAAAGAATACTGCAACTGACTCGCCAATTTTTATTTAATTTTCTTAAATCAAATCCCATATATAATCAGTAGTGAATGTTTTTCTAGATTTTCTAGATCTGAGTTGATTTCATGATTTTTTTTTTGTCTGACCAGAAAACCTAAAACTCCTAAAAGTATTACATTTAATACATTGTTAGGCCGACTAAAATAAATCAAATTTGACACCCCTAAACAACAGAATGTTTGGATATAACCTAAAAAAATACTCAAATGATTAATCAATTGTCAAAATAGATGTACATTATTTTAAAAATCTTTTAAACTAATTATTGCAGCGCCTGTTCATAAGAGGCCAATAAAATGCATTTCTCTGATGCCCCTTCAAGTGACTCAGTTTAAAATGATATCAAACCAAAAAACAACAAATCCACACAATTATCATAACATAAAACTGTGAATGTACCCCTTTTCCTTGAAATAATTATGATTATGTTTCTGTTGAATCACTGATTGATGACTAAACTGTTTGTGTCAGTGTGCAGATGTTGATTTCAAATGGCTTTGCATCTCCATATATGTGCAGAAACTACACTCCTCTTAAAGGCTTTAAGAAACAAAACAACATTGTACGATACAACAATTGATCATTGTGCAGCTTTACATCAGTTGCACTAATTAATTGCAGCTAAAGTGTTGCAGGTGCCTTAGCGAAGAAGTGTTTTAACTTCTAGAGGCGAAGTTAAGTGTACACTAATGCTGTTTTGTATCAGTGCCAACTGCCAACAAGTACCGGGGTCCCTCCTGGTCTCAGGCGGGATTCAAACCCTCACCCTGTCCAGAACGGTGAACTCATGCTTTTGTTAGGATGTATGTCTCATACAGTTGCAGTGTTGTAAATGAAGATGTTCCTGTCTCTATGCTAAGCTATGCTAACCGGCAGCTGGCTGTGGCAGCATATTCAATCTAGAATCAGTCTTCTATTGTCGAGAACGCAAATAATAAGCAAAACGTTGTACTATTCCTGTAAGATATGTCTCTACTGTAGGCTATTTTTATTATATGTACAGCACTTTGGCTCGACCAAAAATCGTTTATAAATGTGCTATATAAATAAAACTTGATTTGATTTGATATGTAGACAATATGATGTTTTAGGTTTGGTATATCTTCTCTGTCCATTATTAGATCAAGTTCCAACATTGTTTCAAATATTATTATAACTAAACGAAATCAGGAAATCGCTCAGTGTGCATGTACAACATTTTGATGTATGGAGAATGTAAACGTTATTATATGCGGGTTTGTTTTTGCATGCTGACCCCTGTAAACGTTTCAGCATTCATTTATGAGTCTGTTATTTAATTAAATGGTGTTTGTTAATTTGAATTTTAAGAACCATAACTGATCCAAACATTGTATATTAACCACATGTCACTGAAGGCCTTTAGAATTGTTCCAATATAATAAGTATTATAACCATGATATTTTACCAAACAATATTTTAATATATATAATATTTTCTATTAATGTATTTCTAAACCTCAAACAACAGAAAGGTGCACTGCACTTACTTTAGGGCTTCAATTAACTAATATTTTTCATAAATGATTGATAAATCTGCTAATTTTGTGTTTGTTAGAGTTTCTTCCCCAAAACATGCTTAAACTGCAAAAACAGATCGAATATCTACAATCGTATTACACATTGAAAGATTAAATTCAACCATATGAATAATCTATTAGTTTAGTTAGAAGGTTGAGGTGCTGTTAAATATCTTTCACATTAAAATCAGGCCACATTCTCAACTCAACTCATCGATGACCATTCTGTTATAAGGATAGTAAGATTGGTTTTCAGAAACACCAGCAGGGGGCACAACAGACCAATTAGTACAACTTGTAGTCGTACAATTACCTGGACTGATAATAGAATTAACAGAAAACTGTTATTTTAAAGACACAATTATCCACAAAAAGTTATTAAATATTATTTAAAAATAGTAGTTAAATTACAGCTGGGATCCTGAAGGCATTACCACATCATGAATGTGAGCTGCAGCCAGGGGCGGACTGGGGGGAAAAAGTGGCCCGGGGATTAATTGACAGACAGGCCCACTTAATGCGCGGATGTATCGGCCGGCCGGCGACGAAAGTATGTTACTTAACAAAAAACCCTATGCATTTTATGTTATTTTGGACCATTATTCATATAGTCATCACATTACCTGAGCCCTTGAGTTGCCTAAGCAAAATAGTTACAGCATATATTTAGTGATTTTAATGTTAACAGATCATTGATGCAATAACATTTGGACCCAATTTGCCTGACTTGACGCATGGTATAAAACATGGGCGTAGGAAGCATCCTCAATGTGGGTGAGACAATTTGACAGGGGGTGTGGGCAGGTGGTGGACCTCACCTCCTCTAGGGGGGTCCAGGGGCATGCTCCCCCGGGAAGATTTGTTTTAAAATGTTGAAGTTAAATGCATCAATCTGGGGCATTTTGAGAGCAAAATTAGGGACTAAATCTATGGATACATCTCTCAACACCAATATGAAACAGAACTGTAAACAGATTTACTTTTTCTTTCAACATTTATTTGAACAGCAAGTGGAGGCAAAAGTGACTGCACCCAGAACAATAAACCTGCTCGCTAACTAGCCTAAACTCAGTAACAGAATGTGGGTTCTGAATGAACGTTCTTCTCCACAGCCGTGCGACCTCTGAGTCAGACGTCACTTCCCCCTTTTCTATCCTACGGGTGCAGCCACTCCCCCTGAACCCCGTTTTCCCCCCCCTCCCCTATGCAAGCCCCTCCCTCTGAACCCAGGGCTCGCTACAATACTGTATACACATACACAACAACAAAAAACACTAGAGGGCAGGGCAACATACTTATAAACAATAAGCCCTGTCAATACTTCCCTCTCTACCCTTTTGGGTCTATAAGTGAGCTCATCCATGTGTTGCTTTTAAAAGGAGGAGGCTGGGTTGAAGTGGTTGATTTTCACATTGGGAGCAAGGTTGTAGAAGTCAGTCCCCTCTGGAAAAAATAGGGTGGCCTATGGGTGAGAGACAAAACATATATGCATGTTATGTACACATTATCGAAGAGATACTGACATCCACCTGAAGCCTTCATTAGAACAAATGTCATGTTTTTAATGTTGTTTAATAGTCTGCAATAATCACTAATTTATTAGTGTCAAGATTGGGAAGTCACATAGTAATAAATGTAAATGTATTATTACCTCACTGAATTAGTAGTTTCTGCAGCAGCTCACTTTTCTCTGCAACACCATCTATAATTTGGTCACTATCCAGCATCTTCAAAACATCTGGTTGAGTAGCCATGAGCATAAAGGACTCCAGGTTCTGTTGAGAGAGCGAGCTCCTGAGCCTGTTTTTGATGAATTTTAGTGTTGAAAAGCTTCGCTCGCATGCTACCTGTGTGACAGACAGGGTAAGCAGGAACCTGTATGCAAGGCCAATGATGTGGTATGCATCTGTCAGGAGGTTGTACTGCTTAAGGATACGGTAGCAACACAATGGGCAGTCCTTGCAAGATGAGCACTTTTTATATACCATCTCCGCTTCATATTCAGCATCCTCTGGCCCAGCCTCTGTTGTCTTGGTTGTGTATTCCTCAAATACAGATGTCTTCAACCTATTCCACTGTCCTGCCAGACTGATGAGCTCACTCTGTAATTTGGCCACCGTTGCTCTGTCATCAAATGGCAGCAAGCACTTGCTTAATTCTTGGAGTGCTGCCTCTGGGAAACCACCGGCATAAGATGTTACCTGGCTGAATCTTTTTGGGTCCAGAAGTGCCAAATCAGCATACAAAGTGCCATTTTTGAGGAAGCGCTGGTGCATGCTTCCTGTGACTGTGTCCATGATTTGATTATGGACATCAATCTTGTATGATGTTTCAGCATCAGTCACAGCCTCATCCTTGGACATCTCTCCAGGCATGGTTTTCTTCTTTCTACCCCGTTTCTGTGGCAGAGCGGCCTCAACCTCCAGCTCAGTCTCCTCACTCTGCTCCTCTGTTTGATTGTTGGCCCACTGGACGAATGTGGCGGCCGCCGTCTTGACTTTCTCGAAGTCTCTGGTCATATCTTTCAGCTGTGTTTCTGCAGCCACAATCATCCGATGAGCTGTCAGGATGTCCATTCCACTTTTCTGAAGGTATTTTGAGACTGGTGAGGTGACCTGGAAAATTCTCAGGAAGATCTGAGCTGTAAGTATTGTTTCATACCTCAGAAGCTGGGTGATGTATCCACGTGCATTGACCCGTGCAGTGGCGTTGATGGTCTGTCCATGTTGAATGGCGGAGAGGGTATGAAGGACATCAACATACAGGGCATTATCTGGCTTTCCAAAAGAGCCAAATACCTTAGTCACAGCAACGTCTTTGGACCACCAGCGTGTCTCTCCAATCGGGGCGAGACGTCTGTGTCTTGGGTCTTTGCTCTCCTTCTCCCAGATGTTCATCCTCTGGTAGGACACTCTGATGAAGACAGCGATGTTGTTCAACAGGGAAAAAAGAGACCCACTTGCCAATACACATTGTGTTGTGTCTGCCAGGACGAGGTTCAGGACGTGTGCGTAGCACCATACATGGACATGGGTGGGGGACATTTTGGCGAGCAGTGCAGAGAAGCCTTTATATTGGCCTTGCATATTGGAGGCCCCATCGGTGGAATTTCCAATACACTGCCTCACATCCAGTTTCATGGTCTCCAGTACTTCATTCACAACAAGTTGTGCAAAGTACTGCCCAGTGGATGCCTCACATTTAATCACAGCAACAAGTCGCTCATGAACAATGTCTGTCACATATCGTATGACAACAGAGCACTGATCTTGGGCTGTGATGTCCTGTGTGGGGTCAATCTGGATAGAATACATGCCAGATTCCCGGACTTCAGTGGCGATGGTGGCCTTCATTAGGCGTTGGATGGTGGTGATGATGTAGTTGATGGTTGTTTTGGATAGGAGAGTGACAAGGGAACCTCTACCTTGTCTTAAACCAGACTGGTGTATTTGCTTGCTCTTTTCTATACAGAGAGTGAGGTGTTCCTTGAGACACACATCATATTTTCCCAGCAAAACAATCATCTCTAAAAAGTTACCATGATCAATGGTGTCATCATCTAGTGTATATAATGCCTCCGCCTGCGTGCCCCTGTAGCTCAAACCCCTTTGACCAATGAGTTTCAACACATCTATGATGCGCTCCAACACTTGACGCTTCCTGCGGACTTCCTCTCTGTGACGTGACATCTGAGGTCCCATGAGAAGGTCCTGAATTGTGTTTTTTGAGAATCTGAGGAAATATGCCTCAGCGCAACCTCTGTGAGCATGGCTCTGCTCATGCTCCTCGACTCTCTGATGTATGTGTGTGAAGTTGGTCATGCCAGTGATGAAGGAGTTGCTATCTCTAGGATTAGCAAAAGCCATACAAAGGGAGCAGAAGAGTACTTCTCTGGCTTCACTGTATGATAGCCATTTCCTGTTTGTGCCGTCTTTGCAAAAAAAAGCCCTCTGCACTACAGCCTTGTCTGCCTTCTGCTGGGGGTGAAAACGGAAGAATAGGTCTAATGTGCCTGACATCGGCCTGGTGAAATAATTAACTGGGGTGGCACTGACATCCTGGCCTTGACTAACTCTGTCAGTGTCAGCAGCAGGATCATCTTCAGCCTACATAAATGATTAGTATTGATTAGTATGTTACGTTATTATGTTACCACCATGTTATTATTATGTATGTAAACCAAGTAAAGTCTTAAAGACAGTAACAGGCTAATTTCCACCAGACAGTAACTTTAGTTGCAGGTTGACAAATAATGGACCCTTTCTTATTTTTAGTATTAATAAGGTAACCTAACGTCTAAGCTAATCAAACAAAAGACAGTATAAGCAATCATAGTAGTCTCATTGATTCACCAGCCCAAGTCAAGTGGCTATAATGTTCAAATAGATTACCGTTGTCAATGAGTGAAGCAAATCTACCAGCAGCTTGCATATTTCACCAGAATTTGGTCAGTGAATGGTGTTAATTTTACCCTGCCCTGTGAACACACAATGTACTGTAGGCAATAGGCTAGCTAGCTAATGCATTAGCTGTCCCTGTGAACACACAATGTACTATAGGCAATAGCCTAGCTAGCTAGAAATAGGCTAGCTAGCTAATATTACCTCATCTGCTACATTAAAAATCAAGCTAGCATTAGCCAAATGAGGATTTTCACTTTCAGCATCAATCATAACATTAACTTACCATCATATCACTGCTGGTACTGGGCTCTAGATGCCGCTGTGCTGTGTCAGTTTCATTGCTGGACTCACTGCCACTGGGAATGGCCGCTGTGTCGGCTAACGTTACATCAGCTTCTCCGGTGGTGGTTGTACTACAACTAGAACCAGCTGCAGGACCAAACGAAAAGTCTGTAATTTTTTTTGATTTTGCTGAACCTTCCTCAAGTGCTTTCATTTTTTTATCCCTAAGTTTTTGTGCACCTCCTTTACGCTTTGGAGCTTGTTTATCCATCAGTAACTCACTCCTGATCTTTCACTGCGCAGTGACAGCCGCTACGGGCCTGATGGGGAGTGGCCGGCCCGGAACACTTACAAATGTGGGCACTTACAAATGTGGGCCGGTAGGATTTAGTTAAGCAAAAAAAAAAAGGGAGTGGCCGGTATACCTACAAATGTGGGCCGGTAGGATTTAGGCAAAAAAAAAAAATGTAAAAAAAAAAAAAAAATGTATTTATTGTTTTGGCCCTCCGGCCCACGCACAGCACCGGCCCACCGGGGAAACTCCCGGTATTCCCGATGGCCAGTCCGCCCCTGGCTGCAGCAACAGTTAATGGACACCCAGGGTTAACAGCATGATCTCTCTGTAAGCCCCTGAGGTCGGGACAGTAGTTTTCCTTTCAAATTATAATCTTTCAAGTGGGTGGATATTTAAACATGTCCGGAGCTGCCTGCAGTAGGTTGGATTAAAAAGGAATTGAAACGCACCCATTGTTTACCTGCACTGTAAAATATTACCATGATTTCACAATATTTAGCTGTAATATTTTACAATAAATTACTGTTTTACCACTTTACAGTCTTTACCTGTGATGTTCACAATATAATACTGTAATTTTGAATGTCACAGTGAAATCAATGCAGGCACAGTTAATTACTGTGAATGTACAGGATAAATGATTACCAGGATTTCACAACATGTTACTGTATTATTTCACAGTACAATACTGTATTCAGACCATCCTCTGTGATAACACAACAAATTAAGTGATTTTCTTGCTTTCATCGCTCTTGCTTGGCTTTAAATACTCATTTCTTTCTTTGGTGCAGGTTTTACTTAAATTGAAAGTGGCACCGCTGCATGTGCCTTAAAATAAACTATGCAACATATAAATCTATGTAAAATTGAAATTGGTGTCTTGGCTTATTGTTTTCAGGGGCTTCCTGGGCATTAATCCTGAGATGGGCTCGAAAGCCAAAAAGAGGCATGGCAATTTAAACCCCCATGTCAGCACATTCTTCAGAAAATTGTTGACTTCGAGTGGATGTCTGTGTAGACATGTGCTCCCCTTCTTGTTTTATTTTCTGTCTCCCTGCTGCGCAGGTGCACCTGGTCTGCCCCTGGCTCCGCCTCTGCCCAGGTGTTCCAAATTCCACTCAGCCGTGTATATATAAAGAGAAGCTGGAGGAGAAGGATGTCTCGCCTATCCTAACGCCGGGAGACACTCTCCTTACCTCTTTGCCATTTTGAGCTGTAGGCCATATTTTTGCAGATGTGTTTATGTTTAGCCTGGAGGACCTGGTAGTCCAGTTTTCGCGGCTTTATTGTGTTTCTCATAGGGTTTATAATTGATTTCTGGTTAGGGGGGGGGGAATTCTGGGTCCTACGGCCCGTGGTGTGGCTGGCTCGGGTTCCCTCCTTCTGTTTGTTCCTTTTGGCCAGTCCTCCAGACCTCTTTTTGTTTCCCGTTTCGCTTGTGTGAGCAAACGGCTGATTATCAATAAATGCTCGTTACCAAGTACCGGTTATTGCGTGTATTCTTTCATGTTGCGGGTCTCAGCACGAGCCACTATCGCCGAGTAGAGGTTGGGGCCGTAACAACATGTCCAAGACACTGTGAAATGCACTTTGCACTTCAATGGAGTAATAACAAGTTAAAATGGACATTTTCTTTGTTTTTCTTTGTTGGTTGAGCTGATTGAATTGTGTAGTTATGGTACAATCCCAGTTAACTAGTCAGATTTACAATATAATATCGTATTATTTACATTTTTATATTTACAGTAAATTACTGGCAACTGTGTTGCATTACTTCTACAGTAATAGTGTGAAAATACAAGTCATTACTGTAATTTATGTACAGCAAGGTACCATAATACCACAGCTCTGTACTGCTATATCACAGTAATTCCATGGGCATGGCAACTGTAAAGTCACAGTATTTAGTCGTATTTTTATTCTAATTTACTGTAAAATATATACAGTAATTTACTGTGAAATCCATGCAACTAGTAGCCAGTAATTTACTGTAATTTTACAGCCAAACATTTTACAGTGTGGAGAGGAGTTTGTTTAAAGAGTGGACTGTATTTTGAGATTCTCAAAATGACTTCAGAAAAACGTTAAAGGAGATGGAAAAACAGCTTCACAGACACACAAAAAGATATACACAAAACAGCTTCAAAACTACGAAGAAACAGGGTTCCATTATTGTATTATTTTCCAGTATTGTATTACTTTTAGCACATAAGCGGATGTAGTTTTATTCACTTTCCTGCCATTTAGCTACAAGAGTAAACTGATACTGCTTGAGAGTGTTACTCTGGACAAAACAGCAAATCCATAAAACAAATAAACAGTTGTATGTAAAAGTACTACGTCCAGTGTTCAAAGTCTTACTTAATTTAACTTTACTTTAAGTAACCTAAAGTAAAAGTAAGAATCAGTGGTAAACTAAATGAAAAATGATGACATGTTTTGTTGTTAAATGTTATTCCAAAAGAAACTAACTAACCAACTCAAACAGTTTTCAGGTTAATGATCTCTCCAAGAATTCCCTGTCAAATGAAGTAAAGTAATCTTTTTTATAACAGGAATTGATTCCCCCGTGATGCTTTTCACTCAGCACCACCACACAGAGACCCACACGGTGGTGACAAGCAGGACCAAAGAAGAAGGCAGTTAGACCTATTTTTCTAGTGTATTGGAGGAGGGGGACACACCTATTGTTGTCTGTCTGCAGGTGGTCTTACAGTTGTAACGCTGCTGAAGCTTTACCTTAATGGAGACGTTTGAAAGAAAGATTCTTTGAATCGTCTCTGAGCACTTGCTGTGATAAATAAGGCCTCTGCCGAGGGCCCAATTACACTTTGAAACAACATTAAAGTCCTCCGCTGGTCTTTAAGGGAGCCATTAGTCTATTTAGATACTATTAGATATTATGCATTTTTGGAGCTCATTGTGTCTGTGTGACTTTTTGTCATCATGTGTACAATTGTATTCTCCGTTTTTACGCTGATATAAAAACAATTTCTTTAATAGTCTCCTCAGTGAGCTCCAATTGTATCTCCAATGAAGGTTTGTGAACTGACAGAACACAATAAAAGTGGGCAAACATATTCATTATATCATGTTCAAAATGTGTGAAGCTTGGTAGATGCATAGGCCAAATATGAATACTTTAAACTGGTTATGCCTTAATGGGAGATAAGTCAGACTTGGATTTAAAAAAAGAACATGTCCTGCATGTGATGTCAATTAGCAATCGGCAGCAGAGACACAACGTCAGCAGAGAACGTTGAGTCGTCAACCCTATTGAAGGTCAATAAAGTCCAAAAATGAATACTTTAAACTTAACGGAAAGCCTGAACGAGACAGTGCGTACATGCTGACGCCTGCAGGCCCTGAAAGGATAATCTGAAGGGCAAAAACACGTGAGGTCTCAGAAGAGGTCAGACCAGGGAAATGTAACTTCGCCCGAGGCCACAAGTTAGGATACAGCTGCAGCTATGTGCACCCTTTATGTGTTTCTGTATCTACACCTTAAGATGAATAACACAACCTCCTATGCTCCCTAAACACCTGCATGAACTTGTTGCAGTTCAGCCGGAAGTAAAAGCACTGGAGGGCTCCTGGATGAGTCACAAACCTTGTTGCAGCATAAAGCATTATTACTTTTAGCAATGAAAGGTGCTTTAGAAATAAAATGTATTATTATTATTATTATTATAAAGCATGGGTTTTACCTGAATGTATTATGCATACAGGTGAGTCTAAAGAAGATCATGTGTGTCAGTTGAGGTAATCGCAGGAAAAATAATTAAACTTTATCAAAGCCTTTAGCCCAGTAAGGCCTATTGCAAAATGCTTGGTCATTGTTAAAAAGCGAGTTCCCTTTTTCAAAGACAGTCAAGTCATTTAATCAGTTAATGTTTAGAACAAAGTGATAAAGAGAAGACAGTATACAGTGACTTGTTACACATAGCCTATGAAAGCAATACAATTACATAGGCCTGATTATCCACATTTTACAAGCAACTGAATTTTGACATTTAACTTCTAATATATAAAATAATTGTGACATTTAAAGCAGTAGGCCTACCGTAGTTATGGGGGGGGGGGGGGGGGGGGAAGCTAGCGTGCTTTCTGTCAGAGTTTTGAGAACTACCAGGAGCAGCCGGTTAGCTGGGGCTCTATGATATTGACTATGAATGTATGTGTTTTTTTTTCTTTCAGTATTTATATACATGTATGTACGTAGGTAAAATGATTCCTTATCGATTAATTTTCTTGTAATATTATCTTTTACATTACTTTATTTGTACCAATAGGCTATTTATCTATTTACTTTACTAGCTAGGACCGGGAGGGGAGGGGGGGAAAGGGAAACATATTGACTGTATAAATCTAAACTCATTGTGCCTGACTCAATTAAAAAAAGAAAATGTAAGACTGTAAACAAGTGTAAGCTTGCCTGGCTCTGTCCAAAGGTTTCAAAATGTCACAACCATCAGCACCTCTATGACTCTATGTTTAACTTGTTATCTCTTGTTTGCTTAACCTTTACAATCGCTGAAGTGTAAATACATCACATTGTGGTGTAACTTGGTAGGCTACCTGTTTTAGTGCAAGGATAAGTTAACCTGCTCTAGCTTTACAGCACAGAAATGTGTACAACTTAATTTATCTAAATGTGTGTGTTGGGTTGTGAGTTATATTTCTACTTATTAGAAGGTTCTTTCAAGCTTTTTCATTCCATCAAAATGTTATTAGATGTAGAAAATGCACTATGTTGCTGATCTGAAACTCAGTGAATTACATAACTGTCAAAGTAACCTGATGGGATAGGCCTGATGATTGTTCATGTCTTAATTTGAAAGAGTAACTTTTAAGTTTGTGAATATTGTAATTGTATTTTTTTTATCTGGACTTGTAAAAATAACTTAAACAGGTAAAGTATTTAAAACCATGAAGCAAGAAGTTGTCTACTTTAACTTCTAGTGGAAGTCAAACCACATAAACTCAGAGAGATGCTTTTGAAGGTTACATCTTTTAATGCTCTAAACTCAGTACATTTCAAT